GAGTGAAAGACCAGATAAACTCCTTGCTGAGTGAAGCTTGAGAGGAGCTCCACCCAAAATGAGTGATTTTCAAAATCTTTCATGATCTTGTATGGGCTGATATACTTCAGAATTAATTTCCTAGTGAATTTTAAGTTTTATGTCAAGACATAAACTAAGTCCCCTTTATGGAAGGGTTCAACCCATTGTTTCCAATTGACAAGCCTAGTTTGCTTCATCTGAGCCTCTAGGATTGCATTATGGGCAGACATAATTGCTAACTGGCAAAGTCATGCAAAGGTTTTAACTAAAGAATATTCATTTTTCATATTAGAATTTCAGATCATAGACTATGGCATGTGTTCTGTATTAAACATAAATGGAGCATATCCAGTGATTTCTGATCAAGCACAATTGATAGCAAACTCAATGGCTAGTAACTTAGATATCCAGTCCTTCTGTGTAGTATCAACACACTGTTATAGCATCTGAGTGATAGTGTTATGATTTTTTCTATTTTCCTTTTCTTTTTCCTTGATTTATTCAGGATTGACCCCTATTTCTGCTTAGTCAGAGTGCCTAGACCTGGTACTTAGGACTGTGGGAATGCTTAGCCACCAGCACTGCTCTGATTCTGGTCACTGCTGAGAAGACACACAATAGCACAAAGACAGAGAAGCCTCTCTTATCTTTGTGCAGCAGTAACAGCAGTAATAGCACAACAGCAAGACAATATTTTTTGTAGGTATCTTAGCAATACTGGACAAAATGCTGTACAATGCAGCAAGGACAATTAGGTAGTTATATTCTTAGAATGATAAGGATTTAGTATTTAAGTAGCATAGCTCTCACTGTAGTAACCTCAGCTTTGAGCTAAAGTTTATTCTTCACCATCTACTCTCAAGTGACCTGCAACTGCCTTGACTACACAATGCTGATAGTGCATCAAGTGAACTCTGATAGTATAACCTGAAGTGTGAGATTTTATCAGTTTATCACATGTTATCAGTCATGTGGAATTTGGGCTTAACAGATAGTGTGATTAGCACATTCTGTAGAACCATTGCTCTGAGGATGGTATGCACTGGACATATTGAGCTGAGTTCCTGTTAGCTCATGAAGCCATTTCTAAAAGATACTTGTAAAAAGAGTGTCTTGATCATTTATTATCTGTTATAGCATTCCATGGAGTTTATAAATATATTCAAACATCAGTTGAGCTATATGATGAGTGGAATACATTATATAACATAGAACTAAATATACTATAAAGATAAATAAGTTAATTATTACTGTTATTGAGTTAAAAGTACCATCTCAATTCTTTGAGTCTGGTAATAGTCCAACAAAGTCCACACCAATTGCTTCTCAAGAGTATGAAGGTATCTTCAGTGGGTGAAATAAGCCATAAGGCTTCTGATTATTAGGCTTGCTCATTTTGCATGTATGACATGACTCACAATAAGACTTCACATTTGAAACCATGTCTTTCCACCAGATATTCTGGTGAAGATAGTTTAAGGTCTTGCTTGCTCCAAAGTGAGCTAGAATTGAATGAGCCTCTGAAATTATAATTTCTTGAGCTGTTTGGCCATTTATAAGTACATGAGGTATGCATAAGAGTCAGCTATCATCTTTTTTGAGGTACAGTAGGCCAGAATCCATATTCCACTCAAAATTCTTGAAGGTTTAAGATGTTCAACTACTCTTTTGAAGAGAGTATCATTAAAATAGTTGTTTCTGATTGATTGCTCAAAGTTGAGGCCATTTTGCGATGGAATAGCATTAAGCAATGTCACACTGTCACAATCTAGACCAAATTCAGCCAAATCACATGACATTGCTTTGCTGGCACTTTGGACATCAATGCCTTCTTGCTGTTGAGATCTATGGTCATCCCAGCTTCTGTGAGGTGAGTCTTTGATCTTATCCTCTATAGATATGTCTTGTGAAGCACCTGCAGGTTGTCTGACTGACTTATGGCTCATATTCTTGGGGCTAAGCCTTGATTTTGGAGAGATCTTGATAATAAGCTTCTGATGCTATTTCACACCTTTTTCACTGCTTTCTGATGACATTTTAGGTTTGTTTGCTTGTTTAGCCCTATTAGAACTTATACTAGACAATGATGGAGTCAATTCTTCAGTACTTCCATCCTTCTGTGTGGTTTTAGAGCTGACAAAGTGTATATGATCCTTCATCTGCTTTAGAATCACACAAGAGAGTAGGAGTACTGAAGATTTGACTTCATCATTGCCTAGCACAAGTCCTAATAGTGCTAAACAAGCTAATAAACCTAAAACATCATCAGAAAGCAATGTAAAAGGTATGAAACAGCATTAGAAGCTCACTATCAAGATTCCTTCAAAATTTATTTATCTCTACTGACTGTGAGAATAGACAAGATAAGAATTCATACTCAACAGGGCCTCAAAGATGCTGAAGAAGATTTTTATAGGCTTGATTGAGCTTCTTTCTATACCAGTTCAGAAGGTTCAAGTTCAAGTTCATCAAGTTTTTGATTGTTACTGAGGTTTTAAACTCTCAATACACATTGTCAATGATGTATTCCTGTGTTGGTCACTTTGGATTTAGGTACACAATATGTTAAACTTCATCTTCTAGATCTCACTGGTCTGTAATAAATGATATATATCTTGTTAAGGATTTTCAAACTGCAGTAGCAAGTGGATGGCCCATCTAAAGGTAATTTATATCTTAAAATGTTGGTATATTATCAAACATGGCTAATTGTCATCTCCAGAATTCTCTGAGATTGAACTGTGAGTCCAGTATCTATTTATAAAAAACTTCTCCTCCTAGACTGTGATCATAGTCAATCTATTTAAACTGATGGTCTGCTTTAAAGTCTCATAGTGTGAACTGAAGATGTCTGTGGAGTTTCTGGAAATCCCCTGAATAAGGTTGGTTCTCATGTAGCTTGGTTTCAAGAGCTTCAGCAAGTACATTTCTTATTTATTGCATGTGCTATTGCTCTGAATGAGCTTTAATAGCTTCTGCCTGCTTAAGCTTCTCAAAGTGAAGCTCATCTAATAGTAAGAACTCATATTGCCTTACTATGAATGCATTCAGGTTCTTTGCAAGCCATCTGATTGCATCAAAATATGGGTTTTCAAGCTGTATAGCATCAATATGAAGGACAGTAAGGTTTATCTGATCAGTAATCATAATCTGGTTCCTGTCTAATGTCTTATGAGAAATCTAGAGTCTATTATACAGTGAGATTGGGCTTTTATGGCCTAATTTCTTCATATCTGAATATATACTAATGTTATGACTCAGAATAAAATGCATGCCTTGCATTATTGCACCTCCAATTTCAGATGAATTGCAGTACCACTCTGTAGAGTTATATAGTAATGCTAATAATCTAGCATGCTGTTTTGCATATCATACACCAATATGAAACTTTGGGTTTTGTAACAGTGAGGCAGATATGGTGAGTTCTTCATGTTCTGACTCAGTATCTGCAATAGTAAAAGTCTTCTGATTCAGACAGAATACTCTAAAATAGTAGGAGCTTACTGCACCTCAAGGTAACTCATCACCAGGATAAGGTGCATCATGGTTCAAGCTCATTCCAGCAGTGTATTGATGTAGATTGCTAATTGTATTAGATTGCTACTTTGAATCCACCTTCTGCCACAGTATGAAGTTGGTATAGTCTATCTCAGAATACCATAGACATTCTTAGCATTATCAGCCCAGCAATACATAAGTTCATCATTATGATCTCTTGCACAGGCATCCTCTTTAGATCATGAATGAGCAAAGTTCTCAATCCCTAGCACCAGTAAGGCTTTATTACATTTAATACTTCCAAAATTATGAATAAATATCTCTAGGTCATCTAATTCTGATTCAACAAAAGTATCAGAGCTAAAACCTGAAGATGTAATATCATTTTCAGATTCAATAGATGATGTATAGAGCTCAGTAAGCACTTGTGAAGCCCACTCACTATCAGTTTCTGAAACAGGTTCAAGGTTTAGAATGTCTTCATTGAATAGATTATCATTCTAAGACTAACTGTCTTATTCAGTAAATATGAACATTATTTCAATTGAAATATGATCAACTATTTCAGTTATCTCTGCCAAATTTTGAAGCTAGTGATCATCTGCCAAGTTGTAATGTATATCATGTGCTGAGAAGTCTGGTGGCCTTGTTTTATTACTTGACTTCATCATATTATTGTAAAGATAATTTCTAGCCATATGTCTCACTTCTTTATATCTAAAGCACTTATTTGCAGTGACAAGTTCTACCTTCTTGCTTTTTGATAGTTTATTTCTAGAGCTAAAATTTGTGGTAGGCTTGCTTCCACTATTGTGCTCTCTATTCAATGGCTTATTATCTCTGGAAGATGATGAGAATTGATTGTAGCTTGATGACTGACTATACAAGTTAGATCCTCTCTTACAGAGTCTATTCTTGTTATGAGAATATCTCTTTGAAAGACTGTTACCAGACTTATATTTCTTAAATGTACACCCACTATTTCCATGATTATTGCTGTTTTCAGAACCTCTCTATGATGGCTTCTTTTCCTTAATACTATGAGGTGTAGACTCAAGGTCAGCCATTTCAATGAGTTCAGCCTCTTTGACAATACAGCACCAGCTATGAATCTTCTTATTGAGCTTTATTTGATGGAGTTCATACTGCATCTCCCTATGGAATCTATCTCAAAGCTTGATAATATGCTCATGCTTGCTAGTCACACTAACAAGGCCATATAAGATTTTCAGCTTATAAATGTATTCTAAAACAGTGTGATCATTCTAGTAGCACTTCTTTATTTTATTCTATTGCTGACTTTGGTAATTTAAAGAGAAGCATGAATTAAAGATTCCTCACAAGAGGTCTATCAATATCTATTTTGCATGGTTTTTTTGAAACCTTCTGAATGAAGAAAGATAATGCTTTTTCCTTCAGATAATATGATGCTAGAAATATCTGTTTATTCTTTGGAACTTGACCTTCTTTGCAGAATTGGGTCAATTCCATTGTAAAGTAATGGAATTTTTCACCATCAGCTGTGCCATCATATAGTGTAGGAGATATTGGTCAAATTAATCTTTTGTAGTGATGTTTTTAACTTCTATGCTTATGCTGATGAGAACCATACCTTTTAGTATGATGATAATGGTGTTGACATCTATGATTGGATAGCTTAGAGCTATCTGATATATTTGACTCATTGCTTGCATCACTGCTACTTGAGCTCAATGAGCTTGAACCAGTATTTGGGAAACCATCATCTAACAGAAAAGATCCTGAATAATTAAAATCTCAATCTGAGTCAGACTCATTACTGGAAGTAGACTCTGATGATTCAGAGCTAAAGGAACTAACATAGTACTTATGTTTCTGTTTCTCAAGCTTTTTCTTATTGAGTTTTTTCTTACACTCAGATGAGACCTTCTGCTTCTTCTTTGATTTGCCAACATCTAATATATCAGCCAAGAAGCTATCTGATAGTAGCTGATTCATAGGACAGGTAGATCTATATCAGCTGCTATAACAGCTATTTGAAGATGCCTTTGAGTGTTTTTGTATGATGTTCCTCATTCTATGATCAGTCAATGGTCTGACAGTCTTTCATTTCAAAGATTTTGCACTTGTCTTAGAGAGTGCCTTTTTTGGTTGAGGTTCTGCCTTCAAATCTGACTCTGAATCTTCATCTGATGTTTCTTCTACTTCAAGGGCATTATAGCAGCCTGTTTTGTGAACCTTTGTCTTTAGTTTTAATTCCTGAGGTCTTTCTTTTTGTTTGTTATACTTAGAAGACTTTCTGACAGTCATTGTTAAGCCCAAATTTCATGTGACTGATAATATGTGATAAACTAATAGAACCTTGCACTTTGGGTTATACTATCAGAGTTCACTGATGTGCTATCAGCATTGTGTGATCAAGGCAGTTGCAAGTCACTCGAGAGTAGATAGTAAAGAATAAACTTTAGCTTGAAGCTGGAGTTACTACAGCAAGAGCTATGCTACTTAAATACTAAATTCTTATTGTTCTAAGAATATAACTACCTAATTGTCTTTGCTGATGCTGTGTAGCATTTTGTCCAGCATTGCTAAGATACCTACAAAAAGTATTGTCCTGCTGTTGTGCTATTACTGCTGTTACTGCTGCACAAAAATAAGAGAGACTTCTCTGTCATTATGCTGCTGCGCAACTTCACAGCAGCAACCAGAATCAGGGCGATGCTGATGACTAAGCATTTCTGCCATCCTAAGTGCCTGGTCTAGGCACTCTAACTAAGCAGAAATAGGGGTCAATCCCAAATAAATCAAGGAAAAAGGAAAGAAAATAGAAAAAATCATAACAGTTATAAAACCATCTTCAACCTCTGAGTGAGCCTCTGAATGAGACATATCACCTTCAGAGACTTCTTGATTGATGTCTCAAGCCTGATTCCATATCTCAAGAGCTCTATATTATGCCTTGATATTTAATTTAGTATCATCAATCTTCTGATTGCAGTTGGCAAATTTTCCTTTAGCAATATAAGAGCTGGATCCAGATGTAGCCATTAGAGTCTGAGATGCAGTATGTTGCTCTCAGCTCTTGTCTTCTGTCAGCTTGTTCTAATATTTGGCAAATATTTACTGCTGTGCAGTTGTCAAATTTCATTCAGCTGCATTAATGGTAGAAAGTTGTTCCTTTATAAGCTTTTTTCCTTTATATAGTCTTCCAAAATAAACTTCACATTTCTCCAGATCATCAAGACTCTGAGTATAGTGAAGTCTTGCAGACTGTTGAGTCTAAGTGATACATGATCTAAACATGTGATAAATGAGCACTGTATCAAGTTTGTATAGTCACACCCAAGTTCACTTATATATGCTTGTATAGTGTTATATCTCAAGGTCAATTATAAGTCAGCTTGAGATAGAATGGTGAAGATAAACTTTAACTCAAAGCTGAGGATATACAGTGAGAGCTACACTATTTATATACTGTTCATATTCTGGTTAAATGTACATCTATTAATTATGTGTTTCTCTGCTATGATACTCATTGTCCTTGAGCATCATTACTACCTACAAAAGAGTATTTTCTATCATCAAGAAGTGTTGTTATTGTTAAAGGACAATGGCTGACTCTGCCTATTATAGTGACTAAGCATGAATAGAGGTTAATCAAGAAAAAAAATAGAAAAATTGTAACATTATCTCTCTCTTAAGACCATCATTCTGATAGATCAATCTAAGGAGAGTTCATAGTTGTGTATAGTGTCAGCAGCATTCATATGTTGTTTATTGACCCACTGGTTAGATTCAAGACTGTAGCCCTTTCAACTAACCAGATAATTGACTGTTGTTCTTGATTCACCATCATGAGCATGCACCTTTTGGAGTCTGTGATTGAGGACTTGGTTGACTTCATAGTGGTCTTTGTCATTGACTAGTATTGGTTCAGGAGTGGATGGCCATTCTTGATTTGAGAAGGCCAGTGTGATATATAGTGTGAGAAAGGATTCATTAAAGATATTATGGATGTGTCATCCAATAGAGAGATGGAGTTTATAGGCCAATCAGCTGACTTTAGTGATAACAAGAAAGGGGCCAGTTCATTTATTGGCTAACTTCTGTTTGGAATGTGGTAGATGAAGGTTGGATGTGTCAAATCAGACTTTGTCATTGATAAAGTATTGATGTGCAGAATGATAGTGTTTGTTGTATTGTATCTTTATAAATGTGGCTGCCTTTTTAAGAGCAGTGTGAGTTTTGTCATGAATTTTAGCCATAGTTAAAGCAAAATCCAAGGAGACAGACATTGTAGTGTGTAGTCATTCAATGTGTGAGATGTTAGAATGTTGATCATAATTAGCAAAAAAGAGTGTTTTTCTTGTGGCAGAGTGGATGTAGTTGGAATGTTGGAATGCTGCTAATGCAAGCCATTCCATGCATTCATCCTGTTGGTAGTTAATGAACATGCAGAGATACTTCTCTATCTTCTGGTTCACCTGCTCTATCTGGCCATCAGTCTAGAGATGATATGCAGTGGAGGTATTGCTACAAATATTTAAGAGTTGATATAAATCATTGAGAAACTTCAACATAAATTAGAGATCTCAGTCAGAGATGATAACCTGAGGCATGCCATACTTTGCATAGACTTCATCACAGAGGATCTTTGCCTATCTCTCTGATGATAATTCTATTGAACATGTGATCAGGATAATAGCCTTTAAGAATTGGTCAATAATGATAATAATTACATCATAGCTACTGCAATCAGGTAGTCTAATAATCATGTTGATGGATATATGGGTCCAGAGTGTCCTTAGAATCTTGTTTGGGTAGAGTGATGCCACTTTCAGTTGAGTTGAAGCCTTCATCTGCTGACACATTTCATATCTTTTCATGTATCTCTCTATATCCTGTCTCATCTTCAGCCATCAATAGTTGCATAAAATCAACTCTTTGGTTCTTGTGATTCTCAGATGTCCTGCAGTCACATGATGGCTATAATCTCTCCTTGAAGTTGATGATCACAAGGGATATATATTCTTCCATCATCATGAATCAGTCCACCTTTTTTCATCATCCCTCATTCATAATTGAGTGAGAGAGCCACTGGCTGGTCCCACTGGCTGGTGTCTCATGTTGTACTCTTGATCTATTCATGAATCTCCTTCTCCATTGACATTATCATAGCTTGAAAGTGTTCCAGTCTTAATAACACCACCCTCTCATTGTTCTCTTTCCTCTGGTCATGATCTACTTATCAACTCAAGAGATTGGCCTTTTTATTAGTTCTATGATCTATCATGCTTGTTGTCAATTAAGTTTTTAGGAAAGTTGGAAATATCAAAGGTTCTGGTGGTCTGTTCAGATCTTGAAGGTCTGTACTGCTCCAATCAGATAGTGACACTACTCTGCAAGGGCTAGCATAATGGCAAGAAGTTTCTTGTCATATATTTTATAGTTGCATTCAGTGACAGTTAGTGTCTTGGAGACAAAAGCCACTGATCACTACTTTCTGTCCTGTTTCTGAGAAAGTACTATGCCAATCACTTCTTCACTTAATTCCACCTCCACTCTGAACTTCCCATCTTGTGTTGAAATTGCCAAGACTATATCTTCTGTAAGGCATTATTTGAGATAGTCAAATGTGGCCTGTTGGGAGGGTTCTCATACCTATAGGGCATTACCAGTAAGCTGTATCATAGGTTGGACAATCTTGCTATAATCTCATATGAACTGACAGTAGAAGTTAGTGAACCTCAGAAATGACTGAAGTTCCTTCTTCTTTGTCAGCTCCAGCCATTTGGTTACTTCTGCTACTTTCACCAGATCTATCCAGATGCTCTCTTCACTAATGATCACCCTCAGATACTGTTTTCAGCACTTCAAATTTGCACTTCTCTGCTTTGAGAAATAGTTTATGCTTTCTTATCAGAGCTAACACTTGCTGAACTAGTTATTGGTGTTTCTTTTTGTCCTTAGACATGATAAGGATATCATCAAGATAAATAGTGACTTTTCTGGTGGTGGTGAGATCTTTGAAGGTATTGTTCATCATCCACTGGAAGGTGGCTGGTGAGTTTGTTAGCCCAAAGAACATGACAGTTAGTTTGAAAAGCTCTTGGTTGATGCAAAAGGCTGCCTTCTATTTGTCACCTTTCTTGATTTATATATTATTATACTTCCATCTGACATCCAACTTTGTATAGTAGCAGGCCTCCCACAGCTTGTCCATCAGTTCTGAGATTAATAAGAGAGAGTAGTGATTTTTGATCATCATCTCATTTAACTTCTAATAATCTTGGACAGACCTGAGCTTCTCATCATTCTTTTTGACAAAAAAGAAAGAAGATGCCATCAGCAACTTCAAGGATTGAATGTGCTCACTGGAGAGATTCTCTTTCAGAAATTTGTTGAGCTCCTATTGCTCCAGATAACTGAGCAGATATGTTTTACAGTCAAGGTTGGCATTTGTGTTTAGGATTAGTTTGATAGCATAGTCTTATAGCTTTGGTTCTAGTAGCTCATCAAAACTCTCCTTGCTGAATAGGTCTTTATAATCTTGAATCCATTTAGGCACTATTTCTTTGAATGTCCTCTCTTCTTTTTCTGTATTGGCTTTTGCTGCCAAATCATTGGTGTGGTGCATTGTCTGAACATGTACAGCTTATTCTATGTTGATGATAAGAATGGTCTCACTGTCTTTCATCCCCTCATCCCATCAATCTTCAGGATCCTCATCTGGCAGTTCAAAGGGGATTTTGCAGCATCAGCATTGTGCAAAGATAATTTGTCTAATCTTCTAATTGACCAGAGAATTATATTGTATCAGCCAATCATAACCAAGGAACACTTTCTTAGTTCCAAGGTCAATGACAGCTAAGTTGATCCATTCAGAGTGATCTCCTATGGTTAACCAAAGTTCAATGAACTTGGTTATTGACCTGGCTTGGTTTTTCATACTATCTGCATTGTAAACAGAGATAAGGGTAGCAGTAGCCTATGTTGGCAAACTGTGCTTATTGATGAAAGCATGATTTATTGAGCTCTTGGTGCAATCACTATCAATCAGGGCTGTCACTGCATGTATAGAGTGGAAGATGAGTATTTCAATTTGGGTCTTAGTGGTCAGATCCCACACTAAGGTTTTTTGTTGCTATATGTACTTCTTTGATTCCTGGAGTTCATTGAGCCACTCTAGAGCCTGGCATCATTTGGCTTTCTTCATTTCTTCTACTATCTTATTGATTATTTCTTCTGTTCAAGTTCAGTATATCCAATTCTTGAGTACAGCCTTGGCTTCTTCTTCTGTTCTCACATCCTTGATAGCTCACCAAGTTCATTTAGTGTTAAATAGTTTTAGCCAGCTCATAGGAGTTGCTCCTCTTGTTTGGCCTATAGGCAGTTGAGTCTTCTGTTTTATTGATCCTTACAGCATGCTCAGTATAGTGGTAGACAGGAGTATATTCAAATGTATATAAATATTAGTAACTAAAGATGGTATATAAGTCTGTCCAGCAGCTATGTGAGACACATCACTAAGTTCTTTGGCTGATCAAATAGGATTATTCATTCATCAGCTCTGTCTTTTACTTTCTTGACCTTTATATTCTTGCTTAGTTCTTCAAGTTTATTGGCTTCTTTTTGCAACTTGGTGATTTGTGCCCAGATATCTTCCTGCATGCATTTCTTCTTTGAGCAATTCTATAATAGATGTCTCTTCTTCCTGCAATTAAAACACATTCCCTTCTTCTTGAGACAGTCTATATCCATTGGCTTTCCACTCCCAGTGTATATGGTGCCAGTCTCTGTCTTCTGCATGCTGTATATTAGAGAGAAAGAGAAGAAAGCATTGGTTTTAGCAGTGTTGAAAGTATTATTAGGCTTTGCACTGGAGAAATTATTCAGTCTTCAATCACTTTGCAGGTTGACATTCTCCATCTTTTGCCTTTGCCATTCTTTATTCATCTCAGTGATGCATTCCTTTTAGACATCATACCCCTTTGGAATGTTGACTCCTATATCTGAGATCATCTTTGTGTAGGAGAGAGATGCTTCTTTCTTGAGCATCTCAATCATCCTTCTATCATTAGCAACATTGTCCTAGATCTCAGCAAGTTTTCCAAGTCATTCTAACTCATTGAAGTACTTGTTTGCCATTTTATTCTCTATCTGCAGCTTCTTCATCTTGTTCTTGTATACTTTCTGGACTGCCAGATCAATGAACTTGTCATGAACCATCTGCTTAAATACCAGCCAGGACAGCAGTCAATGATGCTACCTGATTATTGAGTAAAAGTCAGAGAAAATAAGGGTTCACCACATCTTTGCCTTGTTCTCAAAGTAGGATGCAATGAATAACATGCAATAGATATTGAAGGAGAGATATGTGGAGTATACCTCAAAATACTATTTGCAATCAATCAAAAATTGACTAATATCATTTGATGCATCTTTGAAAGGTTGAGACTTCCATAAAAGATCAAGTTGCATTGAATTATTGCTGCATCTGCAGGCAGCACCCTTATCAGATTTGAGTATTTGTAAAATGATAGTCACTTCCACTTAGTAGGTGGTCTGAAGAAGGAGTGAAGTGAGTTGTCATCAGCAACCAGACTCCCAGTCAGCCTATTCTCTTTGCACACAATATGTCCATTTTGCATAGTGAAGTCTAATTTGATGACTTCAAGGTCATCCTCTTCAGGGACCTTGCTATTCAGACCAGCCTTGTCAGGTGGTGGCTGTCCACTGAGAAGTCAGCTTCTCTGGCCAGTCTAGAGATTTCAGAACCCAGTAGGCCACTTTGTCAGCTGGGACATTAGCTGAATAGGCTGAGTTTGGATACTTTGAATAAAGGGTGCTATATACATATACTGAGTGCTGGTAGTTCAGATGGATAGTATCATATAGTTGGCTCATTTCAGGGTAACAGATGGAGTATTCAATATTGGCTGGAGTTGAAACCTAGACTAATATGCTGGCAGCTTTGTCAGCAGGTCCTCAAAGTGCATTCTGTTATATATAAAATTGCCTGCTCAGTGGTGGCATACTGTAAAATGTCAATCTTTTCTAGTTTATCTGCTACTATATAGTCTTATCCTATAGGCATCATTCTCCAGATAACATCCTGTGTAAGCATGACCATCTGCTTCTGGTATAGTCATAAATACTCTTTCTCTCACTCACACTGTATTTCTTCCTGCAGTGCTTCTTTGTCTACTTTTTCAAGCATGTCTGACTACTCAGGCAGTCATAGATTGTCATCTTTGACAGAGATAGACAATTATGAGAAGTTCAAGAAGAGTTCCTATCACAGAGGCTAAAAGCCTAAAGAAGTCATCAGTGAGATCAGAGGTTGATGTAGATGATGATGGCATTTGGTTTTCTTTGTGCTTATTGTGTATAAGGAAAGGAAAGGTAGAAGCTTTGAGCTAATTGTTGAGCTCAAATGACACATAACCTAAACATGTGATAAATGAGTGCTATATCAAGTTTATACAGTCATGCTCAAGTTTAGTTATGTGTGCTTGTATGGTGTTATATCTCAAGGCCAATTACAAGTTGGCTTAAGGCAGAATGGTGAAGATAAACTTTAGCTCAAAGCTGAGGATATACAGTGAGAGCTACACTACTTACATACTATTCATATTCTGATTAAATATATACCTACTAATTGTGTGCTTCAGTGCTACAATACTTGTTATCCTTGAGCATCATTACTACCTACAAAAGAGTATTGTCTATTATCAAGAGGCATCATTATTGTTAAAGGACAATGGCTGACTCTGCCTATTATAGTGACTAAGCATGTTCCATGGTCCTAAGCACTGGTCTAGATGCTCTGACTAAGCATGAATAGAGGTTAATCAAGAAAGAAAAATAGAAAAATCATAATACAGATCTTGCCATTTTATTGGATTCTTTTGCATCTGTACTACAGGATGCTTTCTTGAAGGTAGAAGATGTAGATGATCTATAATCATTTTCATTTTCTACATTATTACAGAATGAATCATTATCTGAAAATTCTGTGGTCAGATTTTTCTTGAAACCAACATCCTCTGATTTCTCTGAGTGATTTGAATCCTCTTTCTCTGCTTGTACATAAGCAAGAGAAATATTTCTCAGTGCTATAGCATTAAATGCTGGAACATGACTCACAGCTGAAACAGAGGTAGCATCCTGAGCACTTCCAGTGCTAGAATCTGTCACATTTTTAGTATCAAAGTCTGTTGGTGACAACTCATCTGATAACTGAGATAAAGGACTGTCCATCTCTGATATAGCTGATACAACAGTGGTGTTGTGATGGCTATGCAAAGAGTAATGCAACATTCTAAGAAACTGAGAAGTAAAGAGAAAATTAGATATTGGTGTCAGAGTCAGAACATCCTCAGGTGATCAAGCTGTAGAGGATCCAGATATTGACAAAGAGAGATACAGAGAGTTTAGAGAAAAAAGCACACATGAGAGAGAGAAAAGATAAAGCAAAGATTAAGCCAATAGAGCTGTCAAAAATATAAAAGGGTGATAAAAGTTGCTTTTCTCACAAAAGGCTCATACAGTCATTGACAGGTGTAAAGGCTTGGTCAATTGCAGAAACCCCTAGCTATACTACACATACTAGCTCATATATATATGGTAGAAATAATAAATATGAGCTAAACCAGAGAGATGAAGGAAAGAGGAAAAACATTAGATAAAAGTATTGGGCCATGGAATGACTCATAACATGCAGATGCATCTGGGAGAAAACTGATAGATATAAGAAATGTGCTAGTTTTGATGAGTGTATTTATCTAGGAATAGCATCAGATATTAGCAATAATAAGATTGACCAATTGCTGTGTGACATCTTCCACTGCCTGGATCAGCTTCAAGTCATATTGAGATGCATTTTTTGAGGATAGGCACTCTGAGGTCATGAAAGAGGTCAGACCCAGTGCTCCAAGATGGATTTGGAATGAGACCTCTCAAAAATATTGTGCAAAGATGGTAAGGCATTGTGAATGGAGCAGAGCTCCATATCAGCAGAGATAGTGGGTGCCTTGAGATCCATACAGAGGCCTATGAAAATGCTCCCTATCTTTGCCTTTACAATAAGTAACTTACCTATCATTTGACTGCTAGTTAAGCATACATACAAATGCATGTCTATTCTATTTACAAAGTACACTCATAGATATTCAACATTTACAGATGGATTGAGACAAAGAAAACATGCAAAAACCTGAACACAAAAAGAATCTGCAATTCTGTGCATCTGCTATATGATTATATGTGTGATAGATAAGTCAAAACTCTTCTCAAGTGGGGGTGGGATTAATAAATGATAACTCACCCCCAATGTTTCATGCACGACCTTAGGTGATGCACGGTAAATTACAAGATGAAAAAAATCAGAATGACAGTGCTAAGCACAGTGACAAAAACTGCAGATAAAATATAACAGACTCCAGCGTGACTCGAACACGCGACCCCGAGATAACGTATAACTGCAATCTCATGCTATAACCACTTAGCTATGGAGTCACGTAAATTCTCTAAGCTTATATCTTTATATCCGTTATACTTTCCGGCCTTTATTAGGTGTTCATGTTTATCCCGTCCTAATCTATGTCCAAACCTAGGAATTTTTGGCTGCTCAAGGCAGAGCCCGACTCTCGCTTCGTCAAGGGAAAGGATGTAAAGGTAACGTTCCCGTTTCTGAGTTACGGACAATATTCACGATACAGCGCAAGGTACAGTCACTTTTCATGACTGTCGCAGGGTCTTATAGACGTCCGGGCAGTTTAGCGTCGACGATTTTGAGACCGTCGTTACATCGTCGTGGGAAGGTGTTCGGAACTACGAGGCGAGAAATCTTATGAAAGAGATGAAAGTTGGAGACAAGGTACGAAAAGTTCGGTTCCGTTACTGATTTCAGGCAACGCGCTGACAAGCCCCAGGCTCTTTTTTACCACTCGAATTGCAAAGTTCCTGGTTCGTCTCGTCTTTTCCTATCGTAGATTGGATTTTGACGCGTTCCTGCATCAAGGAATCGCGGCTTTTGCTGAGGTCTGATTGCCCTGCCTCTTCCCGCCCATCTTCGTTTATGTTGTCCTCACAGGTGGTCAAAGAAGCATATCCCGATCGTAGGTGTATAATATCAGCCACAATCTCTGCACGCTCAATATCAATCTTGAAGCGCAGACACTGCTTGGGATCCGTATGTTGCTCACGTCTGCGTCGTCACGTACGTGCTAATAGTCTCCTTCCTTCCTTCAAGTTCGCACCCATACTTCGACCCTGTATGTCCCACTCCTCATTGGCATCCTTCACCATATTTTTCATCGTAAATCCTTCTAGAAATCAGACAAGGAGAAACCCAAATGGTTCATGGTCGACCTCAAGTTTACAGCGCGAGCACAGCACTTCGTTCCTTTGTCCTTCTTGCGTTACATAGGCGCCCAAAGTATCGAATCTGTACCCGAAAATGTCCGTTACATCAGTCAGTCTGATGCTGAAGCTATTCGATGTAGGTCCGTTTTCTCCCAGGGCTTTTCCGAGTTTAACACTTGTTAGCTATGGACCTCATCACCCGTGGACGTCTAAGCATTCAGCGTGTGGGTGAGAAAGCCTGGGATGCGATCAAGCTTTTGTCAGAGAAAGGAGGCTGGGAAGATCTGAATATCAAGTCGGAGCAGAAGACTCAGATGAAAGCCGGGCGCACTTCTTCCTCTAAACGACTAAAGAAAGTCGCTGCTAAGGATAGGGATGATCAGTCCGAGGAAGGAGGGAATGATGATGAACCGTCGAATCCTACAACGTCAAAGCGAGGGAAGAAACGCAAAGCGGCTACACCTCCAGACGAGGTTCTGCGTACTCGTAGGTCAACTAGACGTTATTCAGCTGCTCCTGCCGCGCCTGTCTAATTTTTTCTATTATATTTCTGTATTTTCCAGTCGTACCTCTCAACGTTGTATATATCATAATTCACAGAAACGCAGTTGTCCAATCGCGTGTTTCTATTTGAGAATGTGACCATGACGTCATCTCTTTCTCCCACTTACGGATGCACTGTCTACGAGGCGTTCTCACTCCTATTCGCCAACGAGCATTTTGCTTCCCAGTGTCTCGTCTTTTGCACTCAAGCACATGTTGGAGAAGCCTGAGTGATCACGACAGAGGCAGAGGACTGACCAACATCCTCGCCGACGACAATCCACCGGCAGTTCAAGTCAAGAGGATAACCAATCAAGGCATTCAGCTGGTCGACGGACTTGTTCTACCTTCGGCGTGCATTTTTGTAGAAGGACAGGTGTTTCTATGGGATGTGCCACAGACTTTGTGGCAGGGATGGGGGAAGGAACACCTGGAAATTTTTGACCTTGTTTCACCTAGACCCGGTCTGTTTTTAGTCTTGTTCTATGGGCTATATGCGCTAATATTTAGCAGAAATATTACTTTTCGGAACGGGTGCGCGATTAGTACAACCACCGCCATTTATTCAGCCATACATGAGCCAATTGGGCATCCAAATGGATACAATGGACACCGTACGCTTGCCGTGTCTCTTGAGACTTCATTATCTTATCCTTTCTCTCTTCAGAAAAATGCTTGCTCGACGTATAATGTATTGGCGGAGGAAGGCCGACGAGTAGCCGCTGCCTTACTTCCTCTTTCACCCCACGTATGGCAAAAGTCGTTTCTACCCTCAAAATAGGAGTGCGAGATGTATGTCCATTTCAGATGGCTTAGGCGAGGCCGCAATAGCTAACATTAATGAATCTTTCTAGCCAGACCTGCTTGCTACATAACCAGAACGTCTATGTCACTGTATATCACTGCTCGAACCCTATGTCACTATCACTGATGAAATCCTGCTTGATCAAATAAAGAACTTCAGGCGCTGTGCCACGACATTTAGCCTACATTACTTGAAAAGAAACATCGGCCAAGAACGCAAAAAAAGAGCGACAGATTATCTATTGCCATTTCGATGCACGAGAAAACTCTGAACGAGTCCCCGTATCAACTAGTATCTACAGCGAAGAGTTCAAACACACGTTCCATAGTCCGGTACCCTAGCTGCCGACTTCTCTGACTCGATTATCATTCGCCTTCTTGTAGCTTGTTTTGATAGTCATCGAGGAAACCCATGCTGTTCAAAGTAGCGGGAGTTTTGCGAGGGATATTCGCACCCGACCCTTCTACTTTGGAGCTCATGAGCATAGACATTTAACCCAGGTGTGGTAGTGATCAAGAACCGATAAAGTCAATCGTTTTCATGAAGCTTATGCTCAAACGGTACGTTGTCTTTCAATTATTAATTTTCCTTGAAGATTGACTTTTATAATCATCACAGGAACATGTACTCTTGGCCCGCATGCTACTCTGACGACATGAAATCCCAAAACTGTTGGTCATGTACATATCCTAAAAGGCATCGTTGGTTGTCCGAATGTACCTGTTGTCCAGACTTATATCCATTCCGACATGAACGAATGAAAATCAGATAGGAAGAATCTCATCTCATCAGACGATAGTCGTGACAAGTGTGTATGTTATACATTATTGGCACTCGCTTTCTCCTCTCAGCAGAATTTAGTACTCCGAAGGCCTGTTCTCTTTGTACCAAAGGGCTTCTGCTTCCGAGTTACGTGGCGGGGGCTTGATGCCGTTTATCCCCCACATGCCTCGCTATAGTAAAACAAATCGTCAACTTCCACAGTATGCAAGACCAACTGAAAATACCCACGTCCATCTCCGCGACTTGTATCTCCCAGTCAGCACCCCGTGCCTTTATGAATGGCCCCAACGCCTTGTTGTATCTCTCGTTGAACTCTTTCTTGCGCTCATCGCTACATGACCTTTTCAATCGCGCACCGATTATACCGACCTGGGAGCATACCTGTGATAATGGGTGGCCATATGATGTACGACTATGCGGACAAAGTTGTCGGTGGCCTCCCCTCCGACATAGAAATTCTCCTTGTCTACCTCAATGAAGATCACGACGACGTAGAATTTGGGTAGGTGGGAGTAGCACTGCTGGACGGCTTTGACGACAGCGGTTTTATCCTCTTTGGAATAGAATCCGACAGGAATGTAGAAGCGGTGAAGAGGCATGTTCGTAAATGCGGTCTGTAGAGCATCTTGGGTTTGTTTTTATTCAAGTTCAAATGGTTCGGGATCATAACACCTTGGCCGACCTCGGTTACTGATTCTTCTTGATAATGGCTTCGGCCACAAGAAGCATGAAGTCAATGACTTCGTTATTTACCCCGAGACTGCCTTACGGAGGTGTACGATCGGCAGGAACGTACTTTATATTTTCATTCGTTCTCCAGCATAAGGGCTTTTGAATAATGCGTATCACAGAATTTCACGACGCGCTTCATGCTGACGCTGACGTTATACCTCTGAATACTTGCACAAGACCTGGATCCTATTACATCCTCGTGGGTGTGTGAACTTCTCTTGTCGGACCTCAAATGCAGACCGATGATCAGTAGATAAGCGGAGGGGGTTAATACTCACCGTCATATCCTACTTCTGATTTGCCAGGAAGATGTAAAGTTTAGATATACCCCGGACAAATCACACTGCCATGCTTTGAAAAATATATCTTGGGCACCGCGATTACTAGGAGACCAAAACGGATGAAACGCAAGGGTTGATGGGCAAGAGTCAAAAAAAAAAAATAACCAAATATCATGGGGCGAAGAGGCGCACACAGATAATCACCTATCGACGAGAGTAGACGACCCTTGTTCCACGACTCGATGCCTAGGTAGACCAGGCCAAGGTTCGAGAGTCCTCCCGTACCAGTAGAACGTGGCTTCAAAGTTTCACTGACAACCAGTGAAATGTGGAAAGTGGAAGGGTACTTGCGAAAATTTGGGAAGTGCGGCTGGGATATACTGGTTACAGAAGACAACCAAGTTTCAGCAGAGCTTATTGATTCGCATTCGCTCTTTCATTTACGAAACGACAGGTAGTAGGAGAGGGGGGGTGGAGGAGTGTTCCGTGTGGTGTGTAAACGCCACTGTGATCACCGACAGCAAGCGCCAGAGAAAATAACATAATGTACGTGAAGGTTGCCTGCCGCAAGCATGAAAGAACCAACGCACATATTTGCTGTGGTGTCTTCCGATGAGGACTCGGGCATGTGGTACAGCTAGAAGACAAGACAGCGAACGATATAAAAAGAATTATTAAAGTGACCATAAATCCGCCGAACAAGGCCAGCTTAACGCGTCTGCTTAGTGAATATTGATCTGTCTCGCAAATGCAATCGCGGGGTCCAACGCGGGCCTTCATTCCGTTGTGTGGTGCATGAGTATCGTAGTAGTCCACCGCCGTCATCTGATGGTAACTCCAACTTCCTAAACAGCCCATAGGACAGACGGTAGAGAGAGTAGCATAGAAGAAGAGTCTACAGCATTTTGTGGACATAAAAACCCTTGGTGTCCGTAAGGCCTTTTAGATATACTATCGCCCCTAGAATGAGACCCATCTTTACCTGTCTGTTGGTGCTGTGCGCATCTTTAACAGCCCAGGCGGTGGCCATCAGCTGTGGTTCGTTCCCTCGACAGCTATCCCGTCATGGTCCATTGACTCGCCATCATAGGTGCGACCAACTCCACAACGCCCGCACGCGAGACATGCGACGAAAGTAGGTCGTTGTCCTTTCGTCACAGTGTGGCTAGGCGCGTTCATGTGTATGTACCGAAGGCACAAACCATGACGCTACTCTCAACACTATGTTTTTGGCCGGCGCGTTGGAGCCGATCAAGGACGACAAGGATTAAGTAGTGGCTCTGAATGTGTCTGAATACTTTGAGCCTACCTGACATGCAGAATAAGTGAGTATGCAGGTTCCAGGAGAAATTGCGAATATTCCTCTGATGTCCCCCCAGATGGCTGATTCTTTTCAAATTGGGCTGCACTCGGGCTGAACTGAGTTGTAATAACATTGTAGTCAAATATGATACTTGCTGAGTTGCGAGACCTAACAGTGTCGGAGCTAGAAGCATTACTGGTCGTAGGGCTTTTCCACCGATCTGCTGAAAATTTTAGATAGTATCTGTTCATGCGAACAAAAGGTTCAACATTATAGAGTAGACATAAAAGAGAGAATTACACGTGCTCCTTAGGGCGGGGGATTGGGCCTAGGACAAGAGGCGTCTTCGCAATGTCAAACAAGAGTGGTGAACAGGATTGTTGCCAATAATCTCGGTGGTCACGAAGACGACACGCTTGTTGGGAAAAAGGTTTATTGTCCTTGCACCTGGGAACGAACTCCTGGGTTATGCCTGTCACAAGATTAAATGCAGTCTTGATGTCATAGTCTTGTCACCCAGATGAATTTTTCATTGAACATGGATATGCTACATTTTGAGACGTCACACTCGAAATGAGCGTAAAGACGCACGACGCCGACGTCTGAAAGTGCTACAACTGTGCGTTAATAGATAATTAACGATATATAAACAAGTGTTTGCGCAGTGAAAACCTTACGACAGAATCGATATCACGATACATGCAAGGGCCCGGGAATGAAAGAGGGATGGAATAGGAAGCAATGCGAGGATATGATCAAGAACGGGTAAAAATATAGCAATGAGACAGAGAAATCATCTACACGGGACATCAGTAGAATGTTTATAGTAGAACACGAAGTAACATACCACAGTCATGACAGTCGTTAAACAGCCCAATCATCAATTCCGGACCCATAAGCACCGCCTATGCGTCCTCCGCCCCACCCTCTATTCATCCGATCCTCCATACGATCCTCCGAAGGAACCCCACTGCCTATCAACCATCCCAGCCACCAGCTCTGTAGTTCATCCTGCCTTTTATCCTTCCGCTTACTCTTCCGTCTTTTCTGCTTGTCTGCAAACTTGCTGCCCGGCCGCGTTCCAGCGTATGACTCCGGCAGTTCTGCAAAGCTGATACGCTTGGGTGTCGAACGTCCCGAACTGGAACTAGCGGTGCGTCCAAGCAAATCAGGTATACTTAGTGCAGAGGGCGTAGGTGTAGGCGAAGGGCGAGGAGTGGTGTTCGAGGATGACGATTGTTTCAGAGCGGAATGTCGGGGCGGTGAAGGTGGACGCGCAGATGAAGAGTGGATAGCTTTAGTGAACAGACGAGAGATGGAAGCAGTAGCAGTGGAAGTCCCAGCTTCGGCAAGGGGAGCAGGGGAGATAGGCATGAATCGAGGAGCCTTTTTGGGTTCAGGTTTTGGGGCAGGAGGTTGTTCATCTAGAATCTTGCGAAGGCACCTCACCGTCTGCTTGGCTGGGCATCCGTCTGAGGAACTAGATGCCGAGGGAGAAGATTCTTCGATAGTAGGCGTCATAGGCCGGCGAGGCGACATGGTAAGCTTTGGAGTTCGAGAACGAGAACGTAAGTCTATGGAAAGTGAGTCAGGAAGTGTCCTTCGTTCCAAATCTGGAGATTTGGATTGGTGCGATGATTTAGACTGGTTTATTCTAATACGGGAAGCAGGTGAACGAGAATGACCTCCACGTTCCGTACTGACGCTCGAACCGCGTCGAGAAAGGAAAGAAGGTGACGTGAGAGTAGATGAGGGAGTGGAAGATCCTGTTGACGAAGGTCGGGTCATTAAAGATGACAGCATGTTGTAAGCGCGAAGTGAGGAAGGCGGTGGCGCCGGGACAGGGAATGTGGGAGAAGGATAGGCGGAAGGCGCGGACCGAAGGCCAAGGGTTGAGGGCAAGACAATCGTGTGGTCGTCGCTAGCGACGTATTGAGTCAGGGCCCTAGGGGGTAGAGACACCAGCTGCGACCGTGCCTGCGGCTCCAGTCGCAAGTGTGGTCCGTTGAGAGCAGTACGAAACTCCGTGGACGAACGCCTTCGATGCAGATGTCGATGCATCTCCGACGGCAAGCTGGACGTCGGCAAGCTCATGCTGATGCTGCCTTCAGACCTCAGCGAGTGCCCACTATTTCGCCCACTGCTGTCGTAGAACAAACAATCCACACCGTGGCTTATCTCCTCGAGATCGTCGGCCCAAGCATCATGAATGTCTCGGTTATTCCGTATTCTCGACGAAAGCCTTCTCGCACTGACCTCCAGGGTGGAATCTGCAGGCGAGTCTGACGACAATATGGTCGACATACTTGTCTGTGTAGATATCGAGCTCTGTAATAGTGCATTCGACATTTCTAAAGCGTGAACACTACGTTCTAGTAGAGAATCCAAGTAAGGATCGGTGGATGTTGGATTAGGCTGTCTCTTCCTGTGAATAGGATTTCGTCGCTTCCGGCGTGGTGACGATGATGGTGTCACCGACGAAACGGTCGGTCGTGGTGGTAGATAAAGGTCCTGGCCTGAATCAGAATCAGTATCTTCGTCAGCCTCTTCTGCACTGTCTGGATACCCCGGTGGCAGATCAGAAGGCGTCTCTGGTTCAGGTCTTTTCCAATTGCCGGCAGCGATATACTCGGGAAGCGTTGATGTCGTGTCCGACGACAAACGAAGGGCCGATATACGCTTTCGGTGCGTCCGACGAGGGTGAGTGGGGGTGTTCATCATTTTAAAGGATGAATGCCGTCAAATATACAAAAGAAGAGGTGCGTTTCTACGCCTGAACACGGTATCGAGTCAGAACGCAGCCGCACTGGCGAAGGCCAGTTATTGGCTCACGGAATAAGAGGAAAAGCGTGCACATGGTTTCACTGATGTGTTCCTTATTCAATAGTTATCTAAATATTTATTTCTTGCTAAATTATATTTGGGGAATTATAAAGCAAGACCCCGAAGACTGCCGGATGTCCCTCCTACGGTATGCTAATATGTTTTCTCGAGTCGGGTGTCACTGAAAAGGAAGGGTACAGATAGGCTTATCATTCATGCAAAAGTTCATCCAGAACTGCGATGATCACAAGACCTGAGACGGTCCTTATCTGTCAGTGTTATCGACTGGTAAGCGAACCTACGAGAAATTCCCGTGAGGCTTCATTCTAAGAGAAAGCCTTTGTAGGATGGACATTTTCCCATGTAAACTATTGAACCACTGCTATATGGCTTCTACCGTGACAGCTGATGCTAATCTTGTACCTTTCATTTAAGATAATCAACCACGTAGCAGATTCTACGCAGAAGGGCGCCACTCAGCGGACCCGGGTAGTCATCTTTTCGAAGACTCGGCAGTAGAATCGTCGAATGTTACGAATACATGTCGGCCCTCTCATACTCATATGGTCTTATCGGCAATTAACTCAGAATGATTGATATCACTGTCATCAAGGGCTGAGTGCTAGTTAAACCGCTTGCACTCACCTCGCTTTGATTTTTCGATTATTTCCTACAAGTCACAAGACCATGATGCATGGTGGTAAACGGCTACGTACAGCCCTCCTTGTCGCGTCCATGTCTGTGATACGCGTCCAAGGATTTCAACGCTCAGTCGGCTCCCAAAAGATGCCCAATCCCGGGTGCCGAATCTGCAGGGCTCTCGGCTGAAGCGAGCATTTCAGCTCTGTCTTGGCTTTAGTCAATGAGCCGCGAGATTCCTTTCTCATTTGAAATGCTCGACGAAAACACGAAAACAGGCGCCAGTTCAATCGAGTTCATCGAAACCTTTTTCTCCTCACCGCTCCGTACAGTTGCCATGTGCGTTTTTGGGATCGGTCTTCCCTCAAGTCTGTTTCGACAGCTTTCCCCCGCATTTTGGCAGACCTGGCTTGTAGGCTCGATAACGATGGTGACGATCCGATGCGAGTACTCGTGGTTACTCTTCTGCTGACCATGCTAGGCTGGATTGCTGTTGCGGGCGACGTTTCAATTCCGTTTCGAGAGGAAGACATTTCTTGGAAGGAAAGCCTTGCTGCTTCCTTGTAGGTTTCGCTCTGAGCAGCGCCAGGGCGAGGCTAATGCAGATACACTGAATGTGCTGGAAACAGAGCAGATGCGGGGTGTGGGTCTGAACAAAAGGAGTGCGAACGTCCCATATCGTGGCCGACCAGATGTCAATATACCACAATCCTCACGTCCGCATTTGCCTTCCTTAATAACAGTCACACTCGCTATGCGCTCGGACGGACTATGGCCGTGGTATGAAGCTACTTTGGAGACCCTGGCAGTAGTAAGTCGTGTTATTCTGTTTCTTTTTTTTTCGAATAGAACCCTGTCACTCTAGGGAATCTGCTTGTATGGAACCATTAGTCCTGGGGAGCACCTTGTTCTTGACGTGCGAACAGAGCATCATATACTTGGTGATCACTATACTCAGTCTGGCGGCGCGTAGGATTACTCTGCTCTGTTATGATCATGGCATCTCCTTGTTCGTGAAGATGCCCAATCTTTATGTATCAGGGTCTGTATCCCCGCTTCCTTGCACTCACAAAAAGATCCTCCTTCGCTCTATACGACCTATCGAGTTACAAACGGGCTCATTTTGTCGCAGTTGTGCGTTGAAGCACCCATCTGCGCGACGTCCCTGGGGTCCTTTCAGATTTATAACAGCCACTCATAGCCCATGCATTATATATAACACATATCATCAAGTGATAACCCTTGTCCGTGTCGTAATGCAACTTACCTGTTCCATATCTCTGCGAATAGAAAAAACGTTATGGAATATAGAAGCATACGAGTCATTTGTATACATATACAAGTAATAGTCCACAAAATAATGACGGCCTCTGTATCCACTACCACTCTACCGCCATATGGGAAAGTGCGCGTCTAACTCTACGTTTACGATATAAACCTATCTGGTATATTCTCCTTACGCCGCCCCTTTGATAGCGGTGGGAGCGGTAGGCATCAGGAACTGATCAAATGGTCCCGCAAGCACCTCTAATCTCTTCTGCGATGCAAATCCCAGGAACTTGAGGAAGGGCGTGTAGTAATACGGGGTCGTCCACAAGAAACCACGCCCATACTGGGCTCCGATCTTATCATAATCCACTAAATGGAATATGGGTGAGTAATTGAAATCTCTCGAACCTAGCCACGTTTACCTTGCAGACTAGCACGGAGGTCAAGCCACGTTTTAGTCACATCGGTAAGGATCGAAGCTACACCCCATCTGACCGCCTGCGTGCAGTTAGCGCAGCGCTAAGATAAAGTGGCTGAAGGAGGGTATATATAACCTACCTCCATCATGTGCTCGGGATTGTTGACGGTCCACACCATGATCTTCTTGTTCGCCATCTTGCACTCTTCTCTGAACCTATCGACATATCAGCCGCGATCCACGGCGACTAACAGAAGAAAAGGACCCACTTCTGACCATCGGCCGACGTGAGCACACCAAATCTAACCGAAAAGACTTCACAATCGTCCCAGAAGTACGTGCGAGACAGATACAAGCTCTCTCCGATGTGCGATCGCCTGCAATACGGCAGGATTGACTTGGCATGTCCCAAAAATCGCGGATGCCAAAGTCCCAAGAGAATTCTTGGAGCTAGGTTGACCTCCCAGTCAGGCTGAGACGAGATAGTTTCATTCATCAGCTTGAACAATCGCTCGGGATCGTTCTGAGGCTTCACATCGACATTGAACTTGACGTGCGAATTCTCTGGCTGCGGGTAGAGAAGTGATTAACCTCCAGGAATACGACAACTGAATTCACCGACCTTCATAAGCAATGCCACGGTCTCTGCAAAGGTGGGGATAGATTGTACGGGTGTCTTCTTTGTCCGGACATGTTCCATTCCGTCTTGACCATACCATCGACGCTCTTTTATCTTGCCTGCGGCGTAATAAGTTTCTATACGGCGGCACGGACAGCGGCAGTTTTACCTATCGAGTTCGTCGTCCGCTGTAGCTCTGGATGTAATACATCAGCTATGACCGAGACGAGGGGGTTGAATGATTACCCGGATCATGGAACATTATAACGACGTTATCCAACGATACGTGAACGTCTGCTGACGATGGTTACGGGGCGTAAAGCGCGGAAACCCGAAGGCATGAAATACCGCTCTCGATGCCTTCAGCCCCATCCCGGATGGCAGCTTCGAAGCTTGCGAGTGTATTTTCAGGGAACGCTGCTGAAGCCTGGGACGTCGCATTAATAATGGGTTGCCTGTCACTTATCAGACCCTCTGCTCACTCCTCGGTGTCCCCAACATTCTACAGATACGTTCACAAGGTTATTTGGAACCCAGTACACTCTGTGAGGAATGCCTACCTGGAAGGGCTCTTGGCTGGGTCATGAGTGGACGACGAAGACGGGTTAGGGAATCAAAAAAGCGGGGTGAGAAAATGGCAGCTTCCCCCGTTCCTGGAAGTTTTATAGGCAGCATTAGTACCAAGTGAACGTTAGGTGAGACTTCTATCTTGCGTGCGTGCTTTGTAACCTTCCTAATCGGTCCATGGCATCTGCTGCGACAGAAACGTGTGCCGTCGACGTAACCTTGATCCTCAACACAGGCCGTCTCACAACGAATCCCACCGCGCACATGTGTCCTTAAAATACTCATTGGCTCGCTCGGTGGATCCTCGCACATTCGTATATTTACCTGGCAATGGGCGTTGGCAAAATGGGGGAAGTCCCGCACCCAGATATATGTCTCCGTTCTGAACATAGACTGGTTATTCACGGTATTGCAACATCAATGCGACATCTGACTTGGAGCTTGCGCATTGAACGCGATCCGTCTCTTGGCTGTGCACCACCGCAGGGCTCAGATTTTGATCCTGCTCAGAGAGTCCATGGAAATGATCTCGTGGCTGCTATATAGGTAATGGGTCGGCCTTGAGGTCTCGATTGAGTACATATAGTACCGAAAAATGTCTCTTATCAATCCCAATGACCTCGATTCCAAACCTCAGGTGCTGTAAAGTTCCTAATACCCGGGCGATAGACTTATGCCAGTATCCCATGACGGCCAAATCTTTCATCTCTCAAAATGGCCATCATATCAGCGAAGGTTGACATGGACATCATATGTTGACAAACATAGAGCGTTTTTTATGACAGTAGTCCGCAACAACAGGAGATGGAAAAACAGGTTGCTCTCTTTTGGCTTTCAAGAATTAGAAGTGTGTCGGAATCTGCCAAAACTGTTTGCACACCTTTTCACCCTACTTCGTTCATGCTACTAACGACGTCTTTTCTGCAGATCCAAATAAGATGCCTACTAAGCAAGCCGCGGAGGAACCGCCCTAACAGACTTATGTAGGAGTTTCGTTTTCCATCCTTGATGATGATCCATCTTTGCCCAGCTATATATGCGTGTTAGAATGGTCAGCGTCGCGCGTGACAAGTCAGTTCCGACTACTGATGATTTTTGTAGCATATAGCCTACAGGTCTTCAACGTTAACGAAACGATTCGGCCATTGAGCGCGTCGTTGCGCGCCACTACCCAAAGGTAGACGCTCGACATAGCCTATCATGGTCCGACAACCGCCAGCAACGAGTTAATTTTATTCGCTCCAAGTCAATGCCCTTGCCTTATTCATCCTCCTTTAACGTGACAGCTTCGACTGTCTGCTCACACATAACGAGCGTCGGCTCTGAGCAAAAGTGCCCCCGCTGGTGGATTGCGGAATCTCCATTTGACCGCCATAGTCAGTCATATTTCTACGCACATGCGCCACTTCAAGTCTCCGCCCGCCACGTCAATCAGGGGTTGAATGGATATTGTGAGTCTTAAACAATTGTCTCAAGATATCGACCGCCGGTGTTTCGTACTCGATTCTATCGAAGACCCCTACAGCTTACTGGTTTCACGTAGCTAAGACTATTTTTCAGACCCCAGAATATAGAGAAACGATCAAGCGTTCAAAGGGCCATATACAAGATGGTTGGGAAAAATTGGCCTGACACGCCGATCCATTGCTAGGCTAATGGTGCGCCATACTGTGCCTTTATAATCGTGATGATCCGTTATCTTTGGAGAAATGCTCGCAGCTCCCAAGTAGTGAACGCTCTTAACTCAGGCTTCCCATATACCATCAAATATCTTCAACGTCCTCGGCTGATTCGCAGTCATTCTGCACACACGCTATTTTTGCCCGACTACATCCTTAGTATCTTCTTCCCCTCTACAGATGTGATTAGTGGGAATGACGCCCTGTCTGAGCACTGGTTCTATGTTCTTTCGTCTTTCAATAGACCGACGTCTTTTCTGCGCCTATAGTACTTCAGTGTTGGGACAACACTTCTTAGCGCCTACCACCCTTCCTGGTGTTGAAACAGGGGTCCTTGAACCAATGATGTAGGTAATTCCGTACAACACGTTTTGTGAGCGGTTGTCGCTGACCCTCTCTTCTTCCTGACAGCAGTTGCTTACTTGTACACAAAGCCAGTACGAAATTCTAGGAGTCGCTCACCATCGATACTGAATACGGCAAGTTTTCTTTTAGCTTTGCCAGATTTCACGTCCATAACAGAAAGCTAGGCTAGCACAAGTAGCACTCGATCTACAGAGCTTTTCGTGTAATCTCCCACACTCCCTACAGACGCCGGAATTCGCGTTCGAGATGCACCCTCACGTGGACAAAGGTACCCCTGCATTGTCGCGACGCGAACGTAAGTAGTACCTTGATGTACTCACAAGGACAATCGAACCTTACCGTCACTACATATCCTAAGCGGATCCTTAGAGGAGCCCGACCGATTCCAGAAGAACTGACTCATCATTCTCTCACCATCGTGGGGTAATCAGAAGACTTGCGAAATCCTTCAATTAATGAGTCTTACAAAGCCCCTTGACTGCGACGCCCACAGTGCGGTTCTAAAATACGCCGTCCCTGCTGAACTCATACAAGAATTCGAGACCGGGTAAATTAAAGAAATGTTACGTACACCCGGAGTTTCTCGACCAATTCGACATGACTTGGGCCCTGTCAATGCTCAGACCTTGCAACGGACAACACTCCAGCCACCTCTGGCGACGCATTTGTATCGTACGCTTTCAAGATCGATAGAATGTTTAAGAGAAATCTTGAGCGTGGCTCAAAGTTTAGGAACATCGGTGTATGACCACACCTCCCCATCTACAGTGCTGCGACAGATTCCCAAATACCTGTGAAGACAAGGTCCGTGACTTGCGTTAGATATGTAGGTCGTGACTTTCCAGACCTCAGGCTTGGTGGTCAAGCAGAAGCAATGCGGACGTCATTTGCAGCGGTTACTAAATGTTATTTTAACACCGTGACGATGTTGCTATGATCTTTTTTCTTTTCAGCTGGTAAAAGTAAGTAAGCATATGGACCAAAGAGAATTACCGTCAGTGGAGGGAAGGGATGCAGGCAGCATCAGTCATAACTTGATCAATCTAATGTAGTAGGTAGACTGCTAAGCGTAAGTAGTAACTAAAGCCAGTGAAAGTTGTTGCTTACCCTAGGATGGAGACCGGTCCGACACACTGTCTCGGGCCGAAAATGCCGAGAACGGTCATCGACACATTCAGCACGTTTGGTATCATGATGTTGTCCTCAAGCATTGTCCGACGTGTCACGAAACGCTCTGGCGTCTGCTTTGGGCGCTTTTCGTCTACCCACTCTATACCGCAGCACTCAATATACGTCTCTCAGTCGACAGATCCATACTTCAATCTTTCCGTCGAAGACTGGTTTGTCACGCACTTCTGTTTTGGCGACAAATGTGGTAAAACATTGGACCGAAAGGCTTTTTAGACACAGGGCACCAGAAGATCCACTCCTTTTTATCTACCGCGACAAGCCATGCGTTATCATTGGGCGAAATCAAAACCCTTGGAAGGAAATCAATCTGACTGCGTTGCGAGAGACCCCTTCGGTCCCATTTGTGCGTCGAAGAAGCGGAGGCGGTACAGTCTATCATGTGCGTATCATCACTATTACAGCTGTACTCTCTTCTGAAGAGGCGATTTCAGGACCTGGGAAACACCAATTACTCCATCCATCTACACCGACATTCTTTTGACCGAAAAGTAACTGCACAAATCATCTTACGGGCAGTCCGGTCATTGGGTATCGATGCTCAACTCAATGATAGGAACGATATCTGTATCGGGGACAAAAAGATATGTACACGGCCGTCCCCCCGGGTTATAAGCGAGTTGCTTATTCGTTCTTGGTTTGAAGCACATCTCGGGATCTGCCTACAAAATCGTGAAAAACCGCGCTTATCATCATGGGACTATGCTCATATCAACTCATCTTGAGATGCTTGGTGAGCTTTTACGGTCAAAAAAAGTGGGTACGGTTTCTGTTGAAGAAGGGCCAGAACTAGGTCTGTTCGTACCTCTGTCCGATGACTGCTTTGCGTCATGTTTGACTCTGAGAGCATATCGCTTGCCACTCAGTGAGGCGTGCTTATTCGTAGCGCTGGATATCACATCCAGATCATCATCATGGAAAACGGCAGTGTCTTGTACAGTAAGGCATATCCATCATGCACCTTCAGAATTTCTCTCGATCTTCATCGCGCTTACGACGGTGCTTTGTCGGTCTCATAGCCGAACCACTCATTCTAGATTTTTAGGACTCTATGCTCACGAAAGGCGTGGCCTCTGTGCCATCACCAGTATGCAATCTCAGGCAACACGATGATAATTTAAGCCATGAGCACTTTTGTGAGGCAACGATCAGCGAGTTCTGCCGTGCATATAACGTTAACGAAGAGGTCAGGGTTTACTTCCTTCACACCAAACAAGCATTTCTTGATACTATCATAGGTGCAACACATAAACGAAGATACCAACTTAGTAGATCTAGATGATGTTCACAGGGGTGTTACCGAGTTATCGGTAGGTTTCTCAGTGAAGTGCGCACTATTAAAGGTTTGATGAACGTTCTCAACCCAGAGCTGGGAATGGGCATACGGACAGACGCCCGAATTCACCTATACAAAGAGCGAAGCGTTTGAATGGGGCAATGTGGTACGTCACCTTTACCCCGCTGAAAATGAGGTTTTCACCATCAATGAAGGCAGCAGAAATTCAGGCGAAACACGGGGTTATCCTGGAAAGTTCTATCCGGATATCAAACGCCGCGGCGTCTATTAGCGAAGAGTTGACACAGGAGATAGAAAGCATGGTGGCCTCATTGAAAGGGCAGAAATACGGATCTATCTCACCAGAAGCCCTGGTATCATCTAATATAGGCCCCAAAGAGGATGTCCGGCGGTGGCTGCATGACATGATGTGGAACTAGTCTAGAGATACGCGTGCAGGCCTCAACGGTACAGAGCCTGCGCGTGCTAGCGCCAGATATGAGAATAGGCGCTATACCCATTTTACTGGAACGAGCCTGAAGTAACCTGTGGTGCACGTGTGCGACGTAGACACTCCCAGTCCGTTATCTTGTCAAGTAAACTTGATGCAGTTCGCGGTGACGCAACAAGAAAATCTGGTCAGATGCTGTAGGGCCGCAAACAATTCAATTGTCGATTATATTGACTAGATAATCAGATATGTTGGAGGCAACAAGCCATCGACATCGGCCGGAGACATCTAGTCGAAGAGTGTCAAGTTCTCTGCTCGGTCACGATAGAAAGTGACAACGGTCAAACACCAAGGTTCCGTCGAAGATCATCTATTGAAGGGGATATAGGATTGTCCTGTTAGGTGGGGATACCAATTAACGACAGATGTGCAGCCTCTTAACCAAACGGGATACTCACCGACTGACCCCGGATATGGCCGGTCAAGACTTTGTCCCGTTTCATCATCATCTCATCCCAGCTATCAATACCGTATCGTGGAGGCTAAAACACATTCGTAAGAACTGAGCATCGTCATTTAGGACGTCAGTAGCAGTTATATATCTACTGACTTTGCCGAGGTTCTGGAAACGTTGGGAGGCTGAAAACAGTGTGCCTGCCGCACTGATCATGACTGTAGTGAGGGCTATATGAGAGGTATGAGTGTACCGCAAAGGATATCTGAAAAATGATATCCCATACCGAACGGAAGTAATGCTTCCCATGGAACGGGCATGGTGGGCGGAAGAGAACGTTGAAGTTTGGTAGTATTTGTATCACCGGGAGCCCGACACCCGATCTTGCTATACTTATGGTAACAGTCCGCAACACGAAGACGTTCTCATCTCCATATTTATTTAGGCACGAAAGTGTCGAGTTCAGATCCATAAATTTTGGCTACTGTATACTGGGAAGTACGTACGTGATTATGGCTTGGGGGTATATAAGAAATAAAAATACTATAGGCTACAGTAGCCAGTTTAGATCCTAGAGATGATTAGGACGGAAAGGCTCTTCGGTATCATGGGGCACATAAAAGTCCATCAACAATAATTCTGGGTCAAGTGGTTCAGTCCCCGACATGTCGACGCTCGACAAGTCCAGAGTTGCCGTACTAAATTCCAGCTGCAGAGCATTTTCGAGCTGTGAAGAGTAATTGGGAGTTGGCTCAGTCTGGAGGATGGATGATAGGTCAGAGTTCAATAGTGGTTGGTACGGTGTGTGATTGTCTGTCGAATAAGAGCTGATGCTACTGAAAGGCGATTCGACGTGAGGTGAGATGTCGTGACGCATTTGATTTATTCCTGGAGAATGGACATGACGAGATGGGCCGAGTAAGGATAACCGATCACATTCAGCGCTGTAACCTGTTTGATTTAGCAGTTCCCCCGTAGCATGTTCCGAAGGGTTTCCGAGGGAGGAAGAGGAGTGGCTACTCAGAATGCCGAGAGACCCAGCTGGAATGCCCCAAGGACTGCTACTGGACATGGATTCGTTCGGAGATGTAGATCCACAGAATTGGGGGATCTCCGTGGTAGACAAAGGGTCGTGTAAAGAGTAAAAGCCTAAGGGATAAGGCGCGGTGTCATAAACGTCAACGTCAGAGGTTTGCGGGACAGATGGAAACGACGTCGTTGACGGCGCAGATGGAAGGCTAGTCTCAGACGAGCTGTACATAATTTGGCTGAATGACTGGAACGAGGGTATTGAAGGAAAGAATTCAAAAGGTGACTCAGAGGGCGCTAGCAGATGGCCAGAGTCTGCATTGTTAGGTAGGTAATGATATGGCTGAGAACGCAAGCTGGGGTCGATGGAGGAGAAAGGTAAAGTAGAGCCTCCGTGTAATGTGATACGACGTTGTCTTTGCACTGACTGTCTTGTTTGCGGGATCGGTGAATAATCAAACGAGTGCGAGTGATGAGATAGTTCAGTGTCTAGGTTCTGACCGCCGTAAGAAGGATATGATGGAAGGTTTCCATGTAATGTGATCCGACGGTGTCTTTGCAACGGCGGGTTTGCATGTGGCAATGGAGATGGTATGACCGTGCCTAGGTCACCCATTCCGTCCGACATCATATTAAAATATATATCAGATATATCAGAACGTGAGCTGTGAGATGCACCACGGGAGGATCTTCAAGTGAACAAAAATTATCAAATACTGTCCTTGCGATAAACGAACGAATCAACGAACCTTGGTATACGATGGAAAGGGCTAGCTTGCTGTCCATATCTGACCAATGGAAAATAGTCAGACTGAGCATTGTCTCTTTTAATACCTAAATCGAGACCGTCTAGATCAACAGAGTTTTTTTTACCGAAGCTGAGAAACAGCAACGGACCTTCCTGGGAGGCATTTGTTTGACCAATCGCAGGTGCTAGGGACGTCGACTTTGTTCCCGCTTGGGAATCCCAGTCAAATGTATGAGGTTTGACGTTGGGCTCTCTCTGGGCCCTTGAAGCCGAACGCCTGTCTGCATGTCGCCAAACAGTCTGCGAAAAGTTCAGATGCCGGAAGTATCTGGAAAAATCACGGAACGAACCATGCGCTCTGTCTGAGCTTTGGGGGCCTGCGAAGCCTTGGGTTTTGTCGTGGGTTCTAACCAAAGGAGTCAATGATGCGCCACACTTTCGAAAAATTGCGAAAATCATGATGATCTAACTGCCTCACCGCTGGGTTTTGCGCTCTTGCGAGAAAATTCGTCTTTTTCGGCATTTCGGCGTTTCATCCAAGTTAGTATGGAAAATTCAGATGCAGCTAGACCAACCCAGCAGGAGCATCTGAGCCGACCATTATATGCTGCGACTGGCGGACACATGTTAGATGCGTGTACTGACGTCGGGCCATACTGCATAACTAGCGGTGGGTATCAAATCCCATACAGCATAGCCCTGTCTGACCCTGACTGTTGACGACCAGTAGCGCCATGAGATCCTTTCGAGGCGGGTTCGGGGGAACGTGTTGATCGTGGTCGCGTTTTTTGTGTATTTTTTTGTTTACGAAAGCCAAAGAAACCGAACGGATGACCAGTTGCCTTTTCTGCGGGAAACACTAGCGGCTTTATGACGTGGAACTCGTTACCGTATGTAAAGGGGAACACCGTCCAACATTCATCCATAGTTTGACATGCGAGAGCACAGGTACGCTTTCCATCTAGAGGCTAGTCAACGGACTTGAACGCGCCAATAACGCGTGTCCTCTGTGAATTAAATAAATCCAATGCCCAAGGCAGTTGTTGATAGACCCTGAGAAGCTGCCTGCTTCCGAATATGTGGTGGCACGTTTTCTTAATGAGTTGGATATACGAGACTGCGTGTTTTGCTCATTCTGAGAAAGGTCTGATGGTAAGGTCTATTTAATGCTCGGTGATTTCTTTCCCAAGTAGTCTAGGAACTAGACCTTAAATTTTTCGGACGGGACCCCGACCAAGGCACCCAGCGTGGCGCAACGCAGGCTCGTGCCAGAGCGCATTATTTTTCTTGAGAAAATATGAACGCATACAGTGTTGGAATCTGCGAGAGAGTTCGAGCAATTCGGCATGCTGAGTAAGGAAAGAATTTGAGGGAAATTGAAGGAATTAGGTAGAAATTACTAGAAAAGATGTAGTCTAGTATAAATATGAGAAGTCAATGGGGAAGCTCCTCAGGAGTTTGTAACCCAAAGACTAAAGGTCTTACAAGCATGTACTCTGGATACAGTCCAAATCTCAACATACAGGATAGTTCAAGATATATCTACACTATCTATCATCCACCCTGACATGTTGGGTGCTGATATGAAGAATTTTAGCGCTTGTAGCTTGTATGATTCGGAGCTGATGCTCATATCATACCTACTACCACTTTGCATAGATATGTAGAAGAAACACCACCAAAGCGGGACCTGCTAGGCTTCGTGACTGTTACATTCGATTGAACTGTAGTATGACATTAGGTCCTGAACACCGAGCAAGTCCTTTTTTTTTTTGTTCTCAGCATTTGATGCTTTTCACAGCAGTCCTCGTTCTTGGGTTGAAAGCACGTAACGACAGAGACGTCTTCCTTTACCACAACATCACGGTAACGCGTTATGCTAAATGCCCCGAGCTGAATGACTAACGCCACACTTCCATTGCTCTGCGCGAAACCACTAAGATTGACCGTTATGTAAGAAACAATTTATTATCCCAACTCCAATACATGAGAAATTTTGTTAGCGTCAGTGAATGATGTGAATGTCATGCTATGGTTCAAATGATTATGTGGTTGCGGTCCGTATGCTGTTTGTGTATATAGGTATAGTTACATGGGATGAAAGAAGGTAACAAGTATCGACATCATCATTTCGCAGCTGCACGACGGCCCCTCAGCGTCTCTTGCGAAGCCGAGTTCAAATGACTATCTGAAAGGTCGGTCCTAGACGTAACGCCAGCCCGCAATCGTGAGGACGACCGTGTAGTACCGGAATGCGGTGGTGCCACGCCTTTGCCTTTCCGCTGACCAGTGCTCCCGCGCGTATTCTTGGCAGAGGGAACGTCAATCTTTCGTCTCTTCAATTCTGGTCGCGTCGTACTTCCGTTCCCGCTACCTTCCCTTTCTGAGGCTGGGCCGGAATTGCCATCTGACTGCTCGCGCTCAGACTCGGAATTCAGGGCGGGTTTGAGCGTTTGGCGTCGCCTAGCGGGCACAACGCGTCTCCGAGGTTGGATGACGATATCTCGTTTTTGAACAGTGCGGCGAGATATGGGGGACGCTCTGGTGCGCGTTTTCTTTTGGATCCCTGGAGAGAAACTCCGGGGAAGTGTACGCTTCCGGCCAGCTACTAGCGGACCTTGTTGAGATAGAGATTCAGCGAATGAGGCTTCTGAAGAAGGAGTGTGAAGAGAAGATCCGTTGTCCGTAGTGCTCAAAGCAGTGGGGGAAGTGGCGCCAGATGATACATCACCATCAGATTCCAATATCAACGGTCGTATAGGGCGCCTGCCCGGACGTAATCTGAATGTGTTCGTAGGAGGAAGGAATGGAGTTCCAAGTGTTATGTCAAAATCGTCTTCGTCTTCGTCGCCCTCGGCCATCGGCACATCAACCGACATGGGCGAGTCACCCACATTACTGCCATCAAGAACCTGGTTTTGATCGGTGCTGTCGCTCAAGAGTTCGACGAGGTTAGGTTCCAAAGACGTTCGTGAACTCAAGAGCGACGGCTCAAAATCCTGCTGCCGCAGTGTTCGGTCGCCCTCATTCTCCTTTACGGAGAACATAACAGCTGATATGTTTGGAAGAGTATTGGTAGGAAGGAGTGGTGTTGCGGGATACGCAGACGGAAACGCGGGATACTGTCGCCATTCTTCCATCTGCATGAGTTCCTGGACAGTGTGTTCAGAGATGATATTTGGTAACCCATCGTGTCGATTGATATCTGAGATAGATTCCGGGGAAATGTTCTCCTCTCCAGACTCTCTATAGGAGGAAGGTGGAGGATACCAGATTTGATGTGATGTTGCGGAAACGACGGACTGTTTGACGGACGACTCCGGAGAAAGGTCAGCCAGGGGGCCAGCATTCACTCTCTGGCTTACGCTTTCCTTCAATATCCTTGATGGGCCGGCGGTGGGGGCTTCTTGTGAGGTGGTCACATACGATACATCCACATTCAGCAAGGTGGACGTCGAAGACGAAGCACGTCGCATAGATGAGGGGCTCATGGTAGCCTCTTTACGCATTGGGGAACGGACCTGCTGTAGAATACCGACATATTGACCTAAAGTTGAGGAACGTACGTGACACCACCAAGCGTATATGTACCGAATCGGAAAAGCAGACAAAGCAAACATAATGTCGCCGAACATGCGTGCTAGATCCAACAGGGCATCGACAGATGCTGTATACGGTTTTAAAAAGGGCCGTATGACGTGCAAGTAAATAGGTTCAGCACCCTGAGGCAAACACGATCAGATATAAATGGTCGATCAAAATCAAGGCTTACACACCCTTGCACGAGTAACCAGCAGAAACAGAAGAGTAAGAGCCTTTACTTCGTCGTAGAAAGGAATAAATAGCGAGAAAATTCCCTCGAGTAAACGCTCATATGTCATGAAGCAGCACTATCTTGGGATTCAATACGAATTCACATCAAGTGGTGATAGGATCATACCCAAACAATCCACACCGCTAGGCATCCCTTCATATCCCGTTTCCGTTGCTGCATGGCTCGAGCGCTCGGCAGTCCGCTACTGCGTGAGGACCGCGAGGGCCGTGGCAGTTTCAGAGTTTTGAAAGTATCAAAGGTGTTCTGAAATAGTAATATATGCCGAAGTATCTCGACAAAAAGTGGCATGGCTGAAAGGCGGTCGAGAGATCCTGCAGGCAAACCAGAAATGATGGACCAGGGACAGAAAGGGCTCTATTTCCTGTGAAAAGACTACAGGAGGACACTGAGAAAAGTGCAGGACAACGCGTGTTGTGCTAGGACGAGGACAGGCAACAATACCTGAAAGGCAGGCAGAGGTTCATTAGGAAGCCTCCTTGTTTGCAGATCTAAACGCGTTGTGATCATGTAATCATTGCCTTGCGGACGGCGACTCGGGTCCGACCCAATTTGGGCAGTTAACCTGGACAACCGGCGCCGTATTTCGCCACCATGAGTGATGCATTAAAATTTTGACCTTTTCCGAAGCGGCCTTTAGAATTGAGTGAAGCGAAAACCTGCCTAAACCTGTCAAGAGCCGTTTCAGAGGAGTGTCGGCCCAATGCCGATCCAGATGCCAAAAGACGGCTTCCGAATGTTTGCGTTGATCGGTACGTTCGCCGGTGTAGTTAGGTGATCACACGAATCACGTGATTTTGTTTGCCTGCGTTATTGCCTTTAAAGCTTAATTGCAAATGGCGCCTGCTCTCCTTCATACAGCCATGCCAAAGATTCGGACTACGCGAACCAAGAAGCCTCCAGAGGGCTACGAAGAAATTGAAGCGGTATGTGGGAGTCGTTTTGCCGAATGACGTTGCTCAAACATTAATAGGTTCTCGATGACTATGCAAAGAAAATGCGGGACGCCGAAAACGAAACTCATGAAGGCAAACGGAGAGCCGAATCACTGTGGCCTATCATGCGTATCTCTCATACTCGATCTCGATATATCTATGAACTCTATTATAAACGAGAAGCTATCTCCAAGGAGCTCTATGATTGGTTATTGAAGGAGGGTTATGCTGACGCAAAGTGAGTTGCCGTAGCCTCTGATTCAAACAATCGCTGATATCACGGGGTCCAGCCTCATTGCCAAGTGGAAGAAAACTGGCTACGAAAAGCTATGTTGTATCCGGTGTATTCAGACAAAGGTGAGTGCCTTTTTCATTGATCAAATGACTACTCTTGATTCAGATCATCAGGATATGAATTACCAAGGTTCAACTTGCATATGCAGGGTTCCAAAGGCACAGGTTCGATCAGGCACTATAGTTGAATGTGTTCATTGTGGTGTGTTAACCTGATGGTTTTCTATGTTTGTTTCGACTGATTCTGTGTCAGGATGTCGTGGTTGTAGTTCGGATTCTTAACCAATCGGCTCCTTTACTGCTTCAATTCATTGCTCGTTTGCCTGTTACCCATGTAAAGTTTGTAATAGAGGTTGTATCATATCACTTGAACGTGTTTCGTCACCGGTTCACCGATAACAAGATCTTGATGTGTTGATGTTTTCTGGTCACATTGGTACTTTCAAGGCAATAGCGCCCACTTAGAGAGGTCAGTTTTCTGACAGCTCGGGCATACTACAAATGCTGATATGGATCCTGCATTCTTACATCGGTACTTAGCCGTAACCAGGTGCAACTGTCGGGATTAGATTTAGTAATCAATGACGCGACCAAAAACGGTATCTTTAGGAGGCCGGTCAGGGCTCTTATAATAACATTAGCATACACAGGATTCACCCTGTTCCACCTTTTACCCCCATCATCATCTTTGGCGCGCCATGGGCGAATTTTCACGTACAACGGTCGAAGTAGCCAGGTCGTTGGTGGGCAGAGCGGCTTCTGGGCAGGTTCGTGTTCGTTGCTCATAAGAATGGAATGATTGCTTCAACCGCGGTTTCATAGGGCGGGGTTTTCTCAGGCGACAATCCATCTAAATACAATGCGAGTGACCCCATCCGTTTATGGATTATTCAATTAGGTACGCTTTTTGTCGTCGACGCTTATACTTACTGACATTTTACCAGTGATAATCATGTCTATGATCCAGTTTCTCTCGCTCATATTTTCACGTATTCGCCAACCCCGTGTAATTGCCGAAGTCATTGGAGGTGTCTTTCTTGGACCCACAGTAATGGGACGAATTCCAGGTTTCACCGCTGCCATCTTTCCAGGTCCGTTCGACTTTGAATCTAAAAACAGACCCATTCAGTTCTCCTATCATAGGCGCCGGCATGCCCTTGCTCAATCTCACGGCTAATATCGGCCTGGTCCTGTTCCTGTTCTTGGTGGGACTGGAAATTGATACGCGTTTAATGAAGAGAAACGTAAAAGCCGCAGTTTCCATTTCTGTTGCCGGTTTACTGTTCCCTCTTGGGCTCGGCGCTGGGCTCGGCGTAGGCGTGTACCGCGAATTCATTGATCCAAGCGTCAATTTTGGCTACTTTGTCCTCTTCACTGCGGTTGCTGTCGGTATTACCGCCTTCCCCGTCTTGTGCCGTATACTTACGGAGTTGAAACTCCTGGATACGACAGTCGGAGTGGTGACACTATCCGCCGGAGTTGGTAATGATGTCGTTGGATGGATCCTTTTGGCTTTGACAGTTGCTCTCGTCAATGCCTCATCCGGCCTCACCGCTCTATGGGTACTACTCACCAGTGTCGGCTACGTGATATTCCTCATATTTCCGGTTAAATGGGCGTACATCTGGTTGAGCAGAAGAACAGGAAGCTTGGACCAAGGGTCGCCGACGACGTCGATGATGACTGTGACTCTGCTTATCGTCTTCATATCTGCCTTCTTCACGGATATCATTGGAGTTCATCCTATCTTCGGTCAGTTTATGTCACAATTACTACCGCAAGAGTTTGCTAATTTCGGTTTCTTTCCGCAGGTGGGTTTTTGGCAGGTCTTATCGTTCCTCACGAAAATGGGTATGCAATTTCCTTGGTGGAAAAGATAGAAGACTTAGTCACCATTTTGTTCTTGCCTCTTGTACGTGTTGATTTGTATTTTGTATCGCTCTGACTTATCATGCTGACAGTACTTCGTCTCATCCGGGTTGAATACCAATCTTGGACTGCTCAACAATGGCGTTACTTGGGGCTACACCATCCTCATTTGTTTAGTCTCCTTCTCGGCCAAGTTCCTTGCCTGTGGTGCAACAGCCTTTGCAACAGGTTTCAACTGGCGTGAAGCCGGAGCTATTGGATCTTTGATGAGTTGTAAAGGGTGCGTTCTTATCGTATCATTCAATAACTCTTTACTCATTCTACGTGTAGTCTCGTCGAGCTCATTGTGCTCAACGTTGGTCTCCAAGCTGGCGTTCTGGATACTCGCACCTTCTCCATGTTCGTTCTGCACGCGATCGTCTTGACGTTCATCACGACACCTCTTGTCCTGCTATTTTATCCTTCGAGAGTTCGTGTTCATGCCTCTGGGGCCAATGATGTGCCCAAACTCGAAGGAGAAATTGAAGCTGGTTTGCCTCGCAAGCCTTCCTCTGACGATGAAGTCAGGACGAGGTTTGCGGTTGTATTAGACAAGATTGAACAACTGCCGGCTGCGATGACGCTGTCTCAGCTCTTGCAGCCTTCTTCCGTGTCAACAGACACATTCATCTCGTCTCCTGATGAAAAAGGGTCAACTCTGGAAGAGCGGACTCCCAGTCCAGTACCTCGGATATCCATTGACGCTCTTCGCCTCATTGAGCTCACGAACCGCACATCGGCTGTCATGCAATCCACAGAGTCTGACTCTCTGTTGCAGAGCGATTCCGTTTTGTCCATCTTCCGCACATTCGGTCGTCTTAACAAACTAGTTGTGTCCACCGCTCTCTCTGTTATTCCCTACGATGAATTCCCGGCCGCTATCTCCCACCACGTTACTGGTTCCGACTCTCAGATAGTTATCCTTCCGTGGTCACGAGGTCCTGGTGCCATTGCCGCATCGGACAACGATGGCAAAACTGGAGGTGCACGTAATCCTTTTGACGGTGTCTTCCAAAAATCATATACCCAAGACCAGACAAGCTCTGTCGTATATTCGGAGCTCATACGCAAGGTTTTCCTTAGTTGCCCGACAGACGTCGCACTGTTTGTTGATCGTGGCCTGAACCATGGGCCCAATCAGCAGCTCATTCTACCCTTCTTTGGAGGACCGGATGATAGGCTGGCTCTGCAGTTTTTGGTTCAGCTGTGTGTGAACACTGGGGTGAAGGGCGCCGTGGTTTGGATAACCAAGACGGATAATCCCTTGACGCCCACGAGCACAGCAGGATCTAATTTGAAGAAGCCGACGGAGGATACGAGTAGGACGGGGACAGTGCATCTGACTATGGCCGCTGCTGATACGATGTATGGATGCCAAAACACAGAAACGATGCTTGCGAGCGAGACGGCGGATAATTTGGTCTGGAACAAGTATACCTCGACCCCGGTGTCTGGTCACAGAGCGGCGATTGCATCTGCGCTATCTCGGATAACGTTCTCCAAACAAGAGGCTTCTGAACCGTTGCGTGCTGTTTTGGAACTCGTCCGCGCGGAGCGTAGTGGGGTGAACGTTATCGTGATGATGGGCAGGTCGAGGCGGATGGCTGTAGAGTCGCATAAGAGCGAGCTGGCGAAGATCGTGGCGGAGAAGGGTGCCTCGATTGGGTCGTCCGTTACCAAAACTCTAGGTGATGTAGGCGCTGCGCTTGTAGCTGACGGCGCCAAGGCCAGTCTGCTGGTTGTCCAGGCTGCTATTGCTGCATCATGAGTAATGACGTTTTCTCTCATACTATGTACCTTTTTTTGTTTTGCATGAATGACCGATCATGACTTCTTCACTTTACATGTATTGCATACTGTATATATCAAGTAAATATTGGCGATGCCCGGATTTTGTTCAATGGTTGAAAGATGACTTGCATACAGAACGGTCAAGTCTGATGTGGCTGGAAAACAAGGGCTGCGAAGAATGCTTCTCATTATGCAGTTGAAGGAAAGGATCTATTGATGCAGATACCTCCACAGAAGGACGTCATGGAGTCGGCAGCTTGGCGTCCTAGTGGGCCATTGTTTGAAGTTTGAAATATAATGTTATACATCGTCTACGTAGGTATAAATGCCGTCACTTTTGGACGCCCGTGTAAACGGGATTTTCCACTTCGTGTATCGGTTTCTGGCCCTCTGGCGTTCCGGGAATGGTCTTGAGCAAGCCCTACAGATAGAGATTAAATGTTGGTAATCCACAACGAGGAATGGACGGACCAGCTTCTCAAACATGCAAGAATTCAGAGCTCGTTCGGGTTTGCGACACATGTAGTATTCCTGTGGAGAGACCGATATTATGCATTGCGGTCCAATGGTCCAGAAGGCAGAGGCCGAACCTGGTTATTTCGCTCAAGGCAGTTCCAGTGGGTCTCGAATTGCTTCGCACAGTTCTCTCGCATTTTCGTGAGCCTAAATTGCATTAAACAGCGGGTCCTGTAGGGCAGCAGCAAAGACACGCACAAGTCAGCCGTACATCTCGTCACTCTCCTGCCCTCCTTCAAGCAATGGGCTGGGTCCCTGTTCTCTGCTTTGCATAGCATGAAATCCTCTGAAGAAGGGTACTCAGACACGTAGATAGACCGGTGCGAGTTAAGCACGAACCATTGTACTCTTTGCAATAAGCCCCGATGAAAAATGCGGCGCTTTTCAGAGGTCCGCTGGTAGCGCCAATTTCTTCTACCTTTGGAGGTGCAGTCGTCTGTGCATCTACAAATTGACTCTGCACCGTTGAGCTCATCGTCGTCGATGGTGAACTGTCGGATATAACAGGCGCGGAGTCTGAAATCGCCGTCAGCCAATCGCTGTTTCCAAATTGAAAGGAAAACTTTCGCGTCTTACCCTCACTGCCGCGTAATCATGGTGCGCTATAGCCTGTTGTCCTCCATTCACGTGCATTTATCACAAGATTTCGTAGTCTCGAAAGCCACCACCAAAAGTCTACCAGCTCCTCCTGCGATCGCACAGACTGACCATCTTCTTGACGCGAACGCCAACAACGACGGTGCAGGAAATCAAAGAAGAGGCACTCTCCGCCCTGCTTTCCGATGTCAATGTGAATGATGTACCAAAAGTTACGGGCGTCGATGACTTTGAGATTTGCAAACTCTTGAAGAGTGCGGGGCCGATTCCTCAATACCAGATACTGGACCACTCGATGGCGATCAAGGACTGTGGTATTCCGAATTGGGAGGTCCTGTACTTCCAGTTCCGCGACGAAGCGACTGGTAAGCGTCCATTTGGTGTTGTCACGTATAGCTCTTTACCCTGCAATACGATCGTTTTTTCCACTTGGTCTGGTAGGCGCTAAGCAGCCTGTGACGTTCATTGAGCCGCCAATGTTTGAGGAAGAAGATATGCCACCTCCATCTGGATCATCAAACAAGGGGAAGCGGAAAGCGACGGACTGAGCCAGGAGGTGTAGGAGTGTCCAAGCATTTTGAAAGTCTTTCTTGTGGTGAAGTCGACTATAGTGGCTGCCTGTCTTGCGAGACTAGGATTGCACGTCATGTACATCTACGAAACTTTACTGGGTACAAAGCATGTGTATATTCTAATTATCATACACTTAGATCCTAGACTGCAGGGGGGGAAAGACTGGGCGCCGCGTAACCTTCTAACTTATTTCCCGACTGGAGACATTCACGCGCACGTGGCGACCTACTTTCGATCGCTTACATATTCACAGTTCGTTGCAACTTTGCATCATCGCAGGCACTGCGGTTTACGACCTTTTCCACAAGTCACCGTCACGATACCTTACGACCAGCGACGATAATGCTTGGAGGCGCAGGCTCGAGGCTACCCACCGTGGTGCTTGTCGTTGCAGGGGTTTCTACCGTTATTGCTGTTTTGGTTTCAGCAATGTCTATATATCTTCAGTTGAAAAATTACAGAAGGCCTGTTCTGCAGAGGTGCGCTGCTGGCAGTTCTTGTTCAAGGTGATAGCTGATCAATGTACTAGGATGGTTGTACGAATCATGATCATGGTGCCAATCTATGGCGTTTCTTCATTCATATCGCTCTTTTCGCTTGAGGCGGCCGTATTTATTGACGCTGTGAGGGATATATACGAGGTGCGTAGGCTGTGTGCTTTTTGCTCTAAAACGGCGCTCACCCGTCCCCAGGCCTTTGTCATCTATTGCTTTTTCCAATTACTACTCTCATATTTGGGTGGGGAGCGTTCGCTTCTAATCCTACTTCACGGACGACCGCCAAGGGCGCCGCCCTTTCCTATCAATTTCTTCAAGCAGGAGCTGGATGTCAGCGATCCTCACACGTTTCTGTTCCTCAAACGGGGAATTCTGCGTGCGTGTCATCGTGGTCTTGATTGGTACTAAACTTAAACGCGGGCGTGCAGAGTACGTACAGGTCAAGCCGGCCCTTGCCCTTGCTACTGTGATTCTCAAGGCATGTGGGGCTTTCAACGAAGGCGACCTCCGTGCCAACTCTGGATATCTCTACGTCAGTATCATCTACAACATCAGCATTTGCCTGAGCTTGTATTGTCTCGCCATGTTTTGGATAGTGGTCAATAATGACCTGAAGCCTTTCCGCCCCGTCCCAAAGTTCCTTTGCGTAAAGGGAATCCTATTCTTCTCCTTCTGGCAGTCCATACTCATCTCGATCTTGGTGGCGACTGGTGTCATTACCAAGTTAGGTCCTTACACCGACAGCGAAAGCATTTCGTTGGGTCTCACTGACACCCTCATATGCATGGAGATGCCTTTTTTCGCTATTGCTCACATGTTCGCGTTCTCCTATACCGATTTCATCAACAAGGACAAGTCATTTGTCGCTCGCATGAAGGTATCATACGCTTTTCGCGACGCGTTCAGTTCTCTCGACGTCATCGAAGATTCAAAGGCGACCCTGCGTGGTGAAGGAATGGAGTATCGCGAGTTTGAACCCTCAGAAGGTTTCATGCACCAGGGTGCTGGGCGAGACAAGCGCATACGGGCGGGACTGAGATATAGCAAAGGCGGGAAACGTAAGTACTGGCTTCCCAAGACTGCTCCCGAGAACCTACATCCGGGGCGCTTTGAACGGGGGGTTAATCGTGTCATTACGCGCGTGGCGGGAGCAGATGAAGGAGAGAGCATACACGCACCGCTGTTACAGGGGGACGCTAATGACGTGATCCACGACGCGTCGGATTTGGAGGAGGAGCATGATTACGACCTGTGGGATCAGCAGCCACATGCAGAGGATGACTATGAGTTGGCATTTGGTGACCTCGACGAAGCTGATGAAGAACTGTTCGATCATAGTCGGAAATATCTCTTTGGAGATTACAATTATCCTGTTATCGACGCAAGCTCCGAGGATGCGCGTGCCGCCATATGGGATTTGGAGGAGCGGGTGTTAAGAGACGAACGAGGAGCGTGGTTTTCGCCTATTCGAGGAGCGAAAGGACGAGTTGTTATGGATCGGCGGGACGGACCTACATGGCGCGGATACGGAGCCGTTGGCACGACCAAACAGAAGAGGACGGAATCCTATAGCGATGCAAAGATTATCGACTTAGAGCAAGATGTGGTTCCAGAGGTTATGGATGTCAAGAAGAGATGGTCAAAGAAAAACGATGCGTCAACATCTTCTTCGCCTGGGCCGTCGTCTGCGGAGAGCAGCAGTGCCCCCGGGAGGCGGTCGCGGCTATCATCGTTATTGGCCAAGAGTCCACCACAGACCCGTGAATCGTCTCCATTACCGTCAGATGCTGTTGATTTGATTGTGGAAGACAAGGAGGCGATGCGGGAGCGTCGGAAGGGTGAACCTGCGATTCGCTCGCCTCTCCGCAGGGTCTACAGGCGGGGGGTTGTCAAGCATGATGGTGAGGGGGGATGGACCGAGGGAGAGCTGGCGGTGGAAGAGCGGGATGGTGATTCGCAGGAACCGGATAATCGTATACGTGCCGGGGAGGTGGTACTTCGTGAGGTTGGGGACGAAGGAGACCGGGCCCGGGAGGTTTCGTTGCAGGAAGAGACGTTTTCGCCTGTGGTTGAAGCAGAAGGTGTAATCGCTAGGGCTGAAACTCCCCCGCCTCATACACGATTGTTGATAGACCATTTGGACGATGATAATCCGTGGGCCTGAGCTTGAGTTGATCCTTTCCTTGTTTATATGTTATTGTATCATCAGCATCGGGTGTAAAACAGTATTATTTACATATACGGCATATAGTTTTCGCAAGAGCTTGTAGTGTGGTCGGTAAATATGTCTGGACACTGGTGGATTTGATATGGGTTGACAATGCTTCTTTAGGGCAGGTTCGCGTTCGCTTTTATAGTCACCTGTCTGACGCCACCTCTTCCTCTGTTCCAGAAATTCCACAAGAAGTATCTCCGTCAAGCTTCTGTATGAACATATCCTCCATGCCACTGTTGGAACAATCGAGAAATGAGTTTCCGACGCTATGGTAAGTACTCCAGAGTCTATTGACATTACAATGTGACGCGCCGTGGTGAGTTCCAGTTCGTAAATGATTTTGTATCGAATACTCTCAGTGCTCATCTTGTCTCAGAGAAAGTCACGACCACCAAAACGTCTCTGAAGAGCTGTAAGGTTGCTTAGATCGCTGACTTCTCATCGATGCCCAGCGTGTTTTAGGTATTGGCGTCGTTTTCTCAAAAACTCAAATCTATAAAAGAGTGGGTGGGAGGTTGTCTCTCAAGTTGGCACCACCATAACATGGAGACGTTTGCGATAGTGGCTTCTTGTCTATATGGTTCAAGTCAGCTGCTTTTCTTCCGCGCCTTCCAATTTTTCTTTAGACAGTCGACTACATTTCCACAACCTGCTGGTGGTGTACTATTGGACGCATTTGGATGTTCGGACCTACAGCGTATCTCGCAAAAGAATTCTTTCCGGAGCGCTAAAAACGAAATACATCTGCTGACTTGCAAATATACAGCGTGTCCGAAGGATACTCTCACGATTGACAGTGCCGCATCTTCTCTGCCTGTGTAGGATTCTCGTTTATCTATGACGCTCACGGGCAGAAGGTCTAAAACCAGCCTGTTGAAGCGATCTATTGGGAGATCTACGGACTACGAATAGGTTACACACTCAGACATCAAGTTCTTTAGGACGCACGATGTCAGAACTGAGAATACGCTCGAGAATGCTGCCGCCCTGTTATACAGTACTGAATGTACCTTTCGTAAACGTTCAGGCTTGTGACTGAAAATTTCCCGTAGACTATGGCAGCTGTTTCCTTCTGTCGGGCCTACTTTCGGAACCAGTCAAGGGTATAATTTAATCTAGGCGGTGCCATTACCACATCTACCGGCACTCTTCCCTTCCCCATGTCTGTCGAAATCATTGGCAAAGCAGACTTCGAAGTCGGTCCAAACACCTATCAGACTCGGTATAAAGTTGTCGGTGACCTCAAGTCGGGTAAAATACCTCTTGTCCCAATCAATGGGGCGCCAAATAGCAACTAAGAGTAGTACGTCATTTCTTATAAATGTTGTCTGACCTCAGTCTAATCGTTTACCTGGTAGTATGTTGTGGGTGGCCTGATTCGATCCAGGAGCATTGCCGGTATCGCTTATGATTTATCATAGGCCTCATACGGCTCTGATGTCGACGGGGTATGTGCAATCATACAATCTATAGTCGCGTTGAGCTAACATGAGCCCAGCGTTCCTTTGATCTTCAACGATCCACTTGGATGTGGCCAGTCGACACATCTTCCCGATGCCCCGGAAGACTTCTGGACACAAGAGCTATACATGGATGAGCTCGACAATCTCATTTCTCATCTTGGGATCTCCGATTCATTTAGTATTCTCGGACATCTTTAGGGAGGTACGCCACTATTGTTCCAGCGCAATATCTTCAAGAGCTATGACCGTAGTAAAGGAATGCTGGCAGGACAATATGCGGCATCACGTTCACCTAAGGGTCTCCGACATTTGATCGTCGTCTGCGCCATAACTTCCGTAGAGGGTGGGAAAATTCCCTTCGTCGAGAAATCGCCTTCAGCCCGTCTTCGTGCCTTGTCGCAGCCCGTCGTGCCAGGTCTGGAAATACCAGACGCCGATCATTTCTTTTTGGATGCCACCAGCGTAACGGAGGATGTCGTGACGTCTTGGAAATGCATGGTGGAGAATGAACACATCTGGAAAACAAGGTACGTTGAGATTTCCTTTTTGCATACTAGTCCCAGTCCTCTTGCTCAAATTTCTCTGCAACTATTAGGTTCGGTGGAAAATTTGATACCCGTCCGATACTTGAAATAACGGGGAACCTCCACAACTGGTCTATCGTGGACATTTTTCCCGGCATCTCATGTCTGATGCTTTGTATCTCTGGAATCAACGAGGATAGATTCAAGGCATGGATGACCGTTCCAGACATAAAGTGGGTGAAAATTGAGAATAGTCTCAATTTCCCCATGAATGAAGGGCACGAACAGTACGTCTGTGTTTATACTGTTGCTTTGATGAGTTAATTCTCATGTTATCGTACAGGTACCTGCGCACAGTGGCAGATTTCTTGGAGGCTTCATGAAGAAGCATTGTGCCCGGTTCTTTGAGCCCTTTATGTTCTCGAAGGCTACTAGTCACGTAAATAAAGAACTTGAATTTTTCTATGTGACATCAGTGCTATCTGACCCTTCCAGCCTCAAACGTGCCATTTGACCCTTAATGACTATTTCAGCAAGTGTGAATCAAGACACTCACCACGATAAGATCCTTTGGATGATGAGGGCCTTACCCTACCCAAGAGCGCTCCCAGTATCAACGTTATCGTATCCACGATAAAAAGAGAAATGTCGACATTAAGCCAGATGATTTGTGGCAGTGAGAAACTTGAAAGAGGTCCAAGTCAATTACACGTGTGATGACTATTCAAACAAGGGGAATAGTTTCCGGGTATAAAGGTCAAAACGTATCTCTGAGATCCAAAGGACAAGGCTGCCCAGGAAAGTCGGAAGAGCAGGAAAGGGTTGGGAAAGGGCCAGCATCAATTGATCAATAGCGGTAAACCCTAACCTCGTGTTTGCACCGGACTTTCCACAGCCCGATCAGATCATCACGCACATCTACTCTTGTTCACAACCTTGACAATAACATGATTATTTTCTGAGTAGAGAACTATTTGGATTTCATGATTTTTTCCTGTTGGGATAGCAATCCCGAGCGAGTACGAGAACATACTCAAAGATATGATGCCAGTCAGCAGCAGCTGACTTGGATCATGATCCAGACTTATTTAGTATCTCGTAGAAAGATCCTGAAGTAATACAAAATGTATTTAAGTAGAACGTCTCTCTCTTGAGAGGCTAATTCTAATCCTCTGTACATTACTCTGCTCTCTACTTACAACAGGTTATGGGCCCTGGCCATAACTGAACTTATGTCACTACTCACTTCACACCCTTTCATACTTTACATACACATGTAGAACCACATGGATAGCCATTCCATGTATAGAATTGACCCCCTTAAGGGCCTGGAAAATTATCCAACATGGAAAATCAAGATGATCGATATCCTAACCGATTTAGGACTAATTGATTATACAGATGGAAGCATTCTGGCCCCAGCAGACACAACACTGGTGGCAGATTGGAAGAAGAGCCATAGGAAGGCTCTTTCAACAATAAGATTGTGGGTTTCTGATGGCCCACTGGTATATATTGCTGGTTCAAAGACTTTGGCAGGAGCCTGAAAAGCTCTGAAAGATATGTATGAGTCCAGGGGACCCATGGGAATTGTTCTTGTCAGAAGAAAATTCTTTAAAGCTCAGTGCAAAGAAGAAGGAAATATAGAGAAGCATATTAGAACTTTGAGATCCTATCAGGAGGAGTTGGCATCCCTTAAGCAGAAAGTTGAGGAGGAGGACTTCTCTATTACACTGCTTATATCACTCCTGGAATCATGGAATTCATTCATCTCATCAGTGGATACTGCTGACTTGAAAGATTCTTACAAGTTGATTTTCTGAATTCTTCAGGAAGACATCCAATTAAAGAAAAAGACTTCTGATTGGACCACAACACTTGCAGCACATGGCAAGAAGTCCAATCCAAAAGTCACATGTTACAGATGTGGGAAAACTGGTCACATCAGAATAAATTGCCCAAATAGGAAGAAGAATTCTAGAAAGTCATGGAAAGAAAAGGGAAAGGGCCAGACCTAGACACATATTGCCAAATCAGACTCAGACTCAGAAGACTACATATTTTGTGCAACAGATGTCACACTTATCTCACTCTCAGGAGTATCATGGCTAGGGGATTCTAGCACCACCAAACATATAGTCAAAAATAGATTATATTTTTCTGACTATGTTGAAATCCCAAGACATGAAGTCATTGGTGTAGGAAAAACCAAGAGTTTAGGAAGGGGAACTGTTAAGATTAAAATGGTTGAAGGAGAAAAGATCACTCCAGTCACACTAAAGGAGTGTATCCACTGCTCTGATGCATCATTCAATCTTATGTTGATAGGGTGCATTACAGATGCTGGATTTGAACTCAAATTCAAAGAGTCCAGAATGGATATTATCTCACCACATGGCAAGATAATCAGCCATGGAGATAAAATATCAAAGCTGTTTAGCCTTGACATCATTGTTTCAGAAATAACCCAGGCCCATGCTATGAAATCAGCTCAATCATGGCAAAAGTGGCATAAAACATTAGGCCACTTAAATATGGGATCAGTAAAGAGACTATTTAGGAAGAAAATGGTCAAGGGGATGGATATAGATGAGTCAGCTGAGCCTCAGACAGATTGCATAGCTTGCATAAAAGCCAAACATCATACCAAGCCATTTCCACAGAAAGCTGAAAGAGACTATACTGAAATAGGAGAAATGACATTTTCAGATCTATGGGAGCCAGCTCAAACTCAGAGTATCCATAGTAAAAGATATTATATAAGCTTCACAGATGGAAAATCTCAAAGGACAATGTTGTATTTTTTGAAGTCAAAACAAGATATGGAAATTTGAAAGAAGATCCAGCAGTATCAAAAATACATCAAAGTCCATAAAGAGAAGGATCTGAAGTTTATGAGGATTGACAATGAAAAGGAATATGTCAATGAAGAGATAAAGGAATACCTTCAAAACAATGGCATACAGTTGGAATTGACTGCAGCATATTCTCTATCTCAAAATAGAGTTGCTGAGAGAATAAATCAGACTCTTGTAGAGCATGCACACACCATGCTAGAAGAACATCATTTACCAAAGTTTTTATGGCCTGAGACAGTGGCATATGCCACATATTTGAAGAACTGATCACCAACTAGGGCCATCAAGAATGATCTAACTCCAGAAGAAGTGTTTCAGAGCATGAAACCAGATATTTCAGCATTTCAGGAATTTAGAGTAAAGTGCTAGGTGTTACAGCAAGACAACAAGAGGTCAAAACTGGATTCAAAGTCAAGAGAATTTATTTTCACAGGTCTTACAGATGAATCCAAGGCCTGGAGATATTATAACCCTCAAACCAGACAGATTCAGATCTCAAGAAATGTTATATTCTCTGAAAACAATACTACAGAGCCTATAGACACTAACTATATAGTCTCTCACTCTTCATTGCTCAAAAGGGAGTCAGAGAGCAAAGTTGAGCAGACTCTAGATGGAAATGATAGCATTTCAGATGATTTTGTGAATGCTGAAAATGCTGAATCAAAAGAGAAAACAGCCTCTGATGTATCATCAATCAAATCAAAGTTTCCAATATAGCATGAGAAAGTGATTGAGCTATATGACAAATCAGCCCAGATCACATCAAAGACTCAACCAAGTTATCAGACACTTTATAATCCAAGTGCACAAGCCATAAAAACATCAGAACAACAGCATACCTCAGAAGAATCATTTTTAGAAGCTATAAATATTGCAATAAACTATGCATGCATTGGGGAAATGTTAAGCTCAAATTCCACATGACTATTAACACATAATAAACTGTTCAGAATCTTGCACTTCAGGTTAGACTGACAGAGTTCACTGATGTGTCAATAGCATTATATAGTCAAGGCATGGCAAGTAGCTCAAGATAAGATAATAGAGAATAAACTTTAGCTTAATGCTGGAGCTACTACAGTGAAAACTGCACTACTTAAATACTGTTCTGTTATCTAGCTATAAATAAACATTTACAAAAGATATTGTCTGTTGTAGAGCTGTTACCCCTGCTATTGCCAGGCTTTCTACAAAAGCTGTTGTCTTGCTGTTGTGCTGTTACTGCTGCACCACAGTTAGGTGACAAAAAGAGTATTGTCTCTCTCTTCATAGCACACAGCAGCACATTAAGACAATGACTGACTGGGTTGCTGATTAAGCCTTCTCATGGTCCTAAGCACTGGCCTAAGTGCTCTGACTAAGCAAAGATAGGGGTTATTTTCAGAAAAAAAGAAAAGAAAATAGGAAAAATCATAACATTACTCCCTCCTTAAGACTATCATCCTAATAGTATAATTAGGGATAAGTATGCCAGTCCTCATGTGATCATCACACCATTTCTGGCTTGTCTGTTGCAGTGTCAGTATCTCTATCCTCTATAACCTGCATTGTATTGGCAGATATTAATGGAAGCTCCTCCTTGATGCTGACATTACTCCTTGCTGTATGTCCTCTGCTAATTGCAGGTGGACATATTTGCTCAGGGATAATGTTGAACATGACTCTCTGTGTCCACCTTATTGATCTGTTGTTCATAGTCATGAATTGCCTCCTTCATATTCATGTGTTTTTCATTAACCTATTAGTTTGATTCTGGGCCATAGCCTTTTTAGCTGACTAGATAGTCAACTGTTATTGTCATTCCACCCCCATATGCTCTAACCTTTTGTAGTTTGTGGTTGAGCACTTTGTTGATTTTATAATATTCTTTATTGTTGATGAGTTCTGATAGGAGAGCTGGTGGTTGTTCTTAGTTTGGAAAGGCTGGTGCAATATATAGTGTCAATAATGTTTCATTGAAAACATTATGAACTTTCCAGATTGCTGGTAATTGCAATTTGTAGGCAGAGTTGCTGATCTTGGTGACAACTTTGAAAGATCCTATTCATTTGTCTGCCAACTTCTATTTGAGACATGGAAGATGTAGGTTTATTGTGTCTAGCCAAACTTTGTCATTGACTGAGTATTCATAGGCTGGTCTTTGGTGTTTATCATACTGTTTCTTCATGGTTGAAGCAGCCTTTTCAAGGGCTGTCTTCATTTCTTTATGGATTTTTGCCATGGTTGTGGTAAAGTCTGTGGATGCTGGGGTTGTTGTGTGTACTTATTCACTTTGCACAACTGGTGGGTTTCATCTATAGTTGACAAAGAAGGGTGTCTTTCCAGTGGCTGAGTGAACTCTGTTATTATGTTGAAAGACTGTAAGTGCCAGCCATTCTGTCCAATCATCTTATCAATGGTTAATAAAAAGTCATAAATACTTTTCAATTTCTTGATTCACTTGCTTTGTCTGGTCATCTGTCTGGGGGTGATATGCTGTCAAGTCATTCTATTTGATGTTGAGGAGTCGATACAGGTCATTTAGGAATTTGGAGACAAATTATGGTCTTCTATCTGAAATCACTACTTGAGGCATGTCATACTTTGCATAAACCTTGTCCCATAGGATTTTGGCCCATCCTTCTGATGTTAATTCCATTAAGCAGGTGATCAGAATAATCACTTTTGAGAAGCAATCGATTATGATGATGATT